CCCATGCGCGCCACTCCCCGCGCCCGCGCCCCCAGCGGCGGAAGCATCAGCCCCCCCCGCGCCCTGCTCCTGCGCGTCTTTGCTGCTGGCGCGCTTGCTCCACCCGCCCAGCAGCTTCCCCGGCGACACCGCCCCCACAGGCGCGGCCCCCGCAGGCGGGGGGATCCCTGGCGACCGCGCTGGCTCCCGCTCTCCCCCACCCGCCCTGCCCTCCCCCCGCCCGTCCCCTGCGCCACTACCCCACGTATCCCAGCCACCCGCCCTGCCTTGCAGCGCGGGGCTGTGCGCGGGCGTGACATCTACTGAACCACCGCCCATGCCGCCCCCCTGCTGCGGCTGCTGCCGCCGCATCTCCTCCTTCCTCTGCCGCTGCTTCTCTCTCTCCATCCTCACCCGCCTCGCTTCCTCCTCCAACGCCTCCTCCTGCCGCCGCAACTCCTCCTCCTCATCTCCCTGCTGCCCACCCCACTCCGCACCCTCCTCCCTCCCTCGCTCCTCCTCCTCCTCCTCTCGCTGTCTCACTGCCAACTGCTGCTGCTTCTGCATCTCTTGCTCCTGTCTCTGCATCTCTTCTTGCTGCTTCCGCAACTCCTCCTGCTGCCTCTGCATCTCCTCTTGCTGTTTCTGCATCTCCTGCTGCCGCAGCCACTCCAAATCCTGATCAATCCCGGACTCTTTCTTCCTCCCTTGCCGCCTCTCCCCCTCGCCTCCCATCCAATCCTCCTCCTCCCTCTCCTTTTCTCCACCCCGCCCCTCACCCTCCTGCCTCTCCCTTCCTCTCTCCTGCGCCCCCTTCTCGCCCTTTTCCTTTTCTTTCCCTTTCCCAATGCCACGTGTCGCGTCCCTACTGGGCGACGTGTCACGCGAGCGCACCACGGGAGACGAGGGCTCTTTCTTGGACCGGAATCGCGGCGACGCGGGAATGAGACTCCCCTTATCCTTCTCCTTGCCCCTCTCCCTATCCTTATCCTTGTCCTTGCTACTGCTGGAACGCCAAAAGAACATCCCACCGCCACCGCCACCCCCTTCCTTTCCCGTCACCCGCGGGGAGGCAGCAGACGGCTTACTGTCACCTCGCCCCCCCCGACCACTCGCATTGCTGCTCCCACCTGCCCCTGCCCCTGCCCCTGCCGCTGCCGCTGCCGCTGCTCCTGCACCTGCTCCTGCTCCTCCTCCTCCTCCCGCATTCGCGCCTGAACCAGCGGCAGCAGCGGCAGCGACTGCAGTGCTAGCAGCGGCAACGGCAGCAGCAGGGGCAGCGGTGGCAGCGGCGGTGGGTGCGGCGGAGGGAGCGGCGGAGCTGGGAGTGGCACTGGTGGTGCTGGCGGTGGTGCGGGGCGTGGTGTCGCACGAGGAGGACTCCTCTGAGGACGAGTCGTCGTCCTGGGACGCACATGGCGGGCGGTGGCGCGGGACAATGGCAGCAGTCGCAGCAGTGGCGAGTGGGGGAGAGCAAAGGGTGGAGAGGGGTGGAGGGGAAGTGGTGGAGGGGATTGGTGGAGTAGTGGGATGTGAGCAACAAGACACAAGGGGGTATGGGAAACTATCCGGCCTTGTGTATCCGGTACATAGGCAGTTAATAGCTGCACTGCACGGCCTTTCATTCCCTCCTTCTGGTTCCACCAACCATTCGACCAACCGCTTCTGCCCCACCAGCACTAGAGCACACACAAAAACAAGTGCATGTACGTTTCCCCGAGCCCACTTGGTAGCACCTCTGTTCTTCAGCATTTCCTACGTCTTCACCCTGTTTGTCATCCTATGCGTCCACCCTATGTGTTCAACGCGTGTGTCACCCTGTGCGTTCAATTGGCATCCAAAAGGCTTTGAAACGTCGCCCACACGGCACCCAGATGGCACCCAGATGGCACCCAGATGGCACCCACATGGCACCCACACAACACCCAGATGGCACCCACATGGCATTCAGATGGCACCCAAAAGGCACACTGACCTGGGAGGGTGCAGGAGGGACGTCTGGGGTGGGACGAACAACGGGCTGACTGGCTGCTTCCGCCTCCTGCCGCCGCGCCTCCTGCCGCTGCGCCTCCTGCCGCTGCGCCTCCTGCTTTTGCGCCTCCTGCCTCTGCGCCTCCTGCTTTTGCGCCTCCTGCTTTTGCGCCTGCTTCAACCCCTCGCCCTGCTGCTTTGCGGCCTGAGCATGATGCTTCTGCGCAAGCACACGGTGGGCGGGGAGGGGAATGACCGCGGAGTGGCGATGACATGCAGCGGAACGCCTACAGCAATAAGGCGACGAGACGACGCACGAACGTGTTCGCCTACCTGCGCATCTCCCGCTCGTCCCTTGCCGCCACCCGCAGCAGCGGCGGCGGCAGCAGCAGCCGCAGCAGTGGTGGCTTCCGCCTTGCCCGCAGCGGCGCCGTGGCGGCCACTAGCGGCCCCCGGTGCCGCCCTCCTCGGGGCCACCTCCTCGTGCTCGCTCTCGTCGTCGTCCCTGCACTCGCGCACCACGCCCCCCCGCGCACACGGAGAATAGATCAGCTACCGGCTCGTCAAAAGGGCAACGAAGGAAAGCCTACAATACAAGACTCTATTTGATTCGCGTGGCGGTCGGGAAAAGAGTGGGCAAACGTCTGCGGCTAGCATTGGGGGTTGCGAGGAAGGAGGGGGGGGGGCGGGGGGGTGGGGGGGGTTATGACGCGGCGTGGTTGCAGATGGTGAACAGTTTTGCGGGTCATACCTTGGGTCGAGCGCCGTGCATTGAACCGTGGCCTGCAAGGCACAAGCAGTGGGACAGAATGCCAAGTGAGTTAGCAGAGGAGCTTGTCACGAGCAACTACAGCGACTCCTCTCATCCTCACTTCCTCCTCAGCCTACAAACCGATTGCTGAAGGAGCATAACCACGCGCGTATGAACCACCGAGATTAGTAAACGCCTTATTGATTGCTATTTCGATTGTACTTCTTTTATTTTTCTTGCTTGCTTTCGATTGTACTTCTTTCTCCAATCCTTTCTTGTCCATTGCCCCACCTACTTGGAGCAGCCGCCTTACATGAAGGATGGTTCCAGCGTTGCAGTTCTTCAAGGGAAGCGTTCGCTGATCCAGCCCTCCGAATCCCCCGAATTCCGCCAGGTTCAGCGTCGCTTCACCCAGCACGCCCGATCGCAACGAGTTCTGCAAATCAGGATGAGGGGTTTCCATATATCGAAGGAGAAGGAGCTGAGAATGCGAGGATAACTGAGTCACGGACATAACCGCCTGACCGAAGCCTCGTGGCGAAAAACGAAAGACACAGCAATGAAAGACTAGGCAACAGCAAGGTGTACCAGGGAGAAAGGGAACGTCTCACGATTGTAACTAGAACTTACGGACGAGACGACGAAGCGGTACGGCCGGGGCTCGTACGCCTTGGCCTTGGCGTGGCGAGTGAGCTTCGTGGTGATGGTGACCGACCCGCTCCACGCGCACGAGCCATTCTTGACCGTTGCCTTGGGGGTTTGTCCCTCGGGCTTGCCGGAATCGGTGGGAACGACGAACACCACGAGGTTGTCGAAACCAGACGCCGGTACCTGAATACACGCGAGGGGTGGACGGATATTGTTGTCCGGGGGATGAAAACGACATGCGCCGATAAGTCTTTAAACAGCGGACGTTGGTGTTTTCACTTACCCGCGTCGCGTGGAACCGGAACCTAAAGTCGAACCTCTCCTTTTTCGTCCTTAGTCCCTTAAACATGGTGGCCGGTTCGTTCGCCTAGACGCTGCTCGTTTAGCAGTCACTAATGGATGAGGTAAGAAGGGAACAAGCGTCTGCTGGCAATTTATGGCGGAACAACGTCATAGTTTTCACGAAACGCGCGATGCCGCCATATCATCACTGGGTCCTACGAGCAAAAAATCACTAAGAGCAACACAAGCTTCTGCTTTGAGATCACTCTCTTGTGTGAGGTGTTGAGGTCTGGAGTCAAACGGATGGGTCATGCCATGATGTGAAAATGGACGAATGAGAGCGGGACGATCTGGCCAATCGACGCTGAGTTTAGGGGGGAACCTGTCGGCACGGCATGTATGCCGAAGCTAAGACGTGACTGTGGGTTTCCCGCCAACATGCCCCTGCCTGAGCAGTAATCCACGTGGCATGTGGAGTCAGCTCTGGCAAAAAACGTGAAGGCCGAGGAAGGCGCTTCGAGCACTCATGATTCAGTACAAGCAGTTTATATCTACATGACGCGTCACTCCTATTACCGTGGTTTAACAAGAAAGAAGTTAGTTGCTGAAATCCATGAGGAAATATGTGAACTTTGAAGAACGCCAGTTTATGTGTTATCGGTTAAATATATCCCTATAACGCCAATTCAATCATGAATTATCTTTGCTAGGTACCCTATTCAGTTTCTTCAGAATATATGTGGTGTGGAAGTTATCACTACCATCACATTTTTGTATAACAGGTAAATGTGTGTAACTCAACTGTCACATCTCTGAAGCATGTGCGAATTTCGCCAAACGACCAAATTGAACCCTCCACACCAACATCCTTCGCACAGAAGGGGGGCGTGTTCGCAGAGTGTGTCGGCGGTCGTGATTCAACAAGGCCACTTTGCCAACGAAGCGGGAAGGAAAGCAAACACGCTGGTCGCTTCCTCGCGAGGCCTGAGCCGTTCAATGAAGGTCTAATCGGAAGACTCTCCGCAATTAGCGTTTGACATCCTGGTTCGCATGGTCGATCCCCACCATATTTCGGCCAATAGGTGAAGCCGAGAAGGACGATCCCCCTTCTCCTGTTCAATTTCTGGAAACCCCAACGTCCCTGCCCTGCCGCTGTGCGTTAGGGTTTCATCCGCTTTCCCGCTTTCAGTGTAAGATCAGCCAGCTTGTTCCTTCTCTTCCTTCTGGTAACCCGCAAACATCCAGTCTCCCGACAAGTTTGTTTTTCGTAACAGCCAGTACGCAACCCTTCCTAATCCTATCTTGAACTCCGCTTAGTCTTGGCGACGAGTGCACCCTAGTCTGTGCCAACTCTTCAACTGCCTGGACGATGTCAGAAAAGGAACCTGTCGAAGGGGCAGGAAAAGAAGGGTCGTCCGAGGATGACGATGTTGTGGAAGTGCTGCAAGAAGGGAATGCAGAAGTGACACTGCTCGGCACGGCGGATGTCGCGGAGCCCAGTGCTCAAGTGGAAAATGTCTCCGCCGCGCGCGAGGCGCCTGATGCGGAACCGGGTGGTGAATCTCCAAGGGATTCGACAGCAGAGACAGCACGCGAAGTTGCGGCGAAGGAGAACACAGAAGGAGGGAGTGCGAGCCGAGAGGGAGCAGACGGCGGAGCAGAATCGGAGAAGGCGGAATCTGGTGAGGTTCCAAAGGATTCCGAAACAGAGGCAGCAGGAGATGGTGCGGCGAAGGAGGGCGCAGAAACTGCGACAGCCAATGGAGAGGCAGCGGATGGTGAAGGAGCAGAGGTGGATACCAAGGCACATTCAGGAAATGGTGCGACGAAGGAGGGCGCAGAAACAGCGAGGGCGAACTCAGTGGAAGCGGATGGCGTAGACGCAGACGGACCGGAGGCGGATCCGAAGGCACAGAAGGAGGATGCAGAACCAGTGACGGCGAACCCAGTGGAAGCGGACGGCGGAGAAGCAGAGGGAGCCGAGGTGGATCCCAAGGTACAGGCAGCGGGTGACGGTGCGACGAAGGACGACGCAGAGCCAGCGACGGCGAACCCAGTGGAAGCGGACGGTGGAGGAGCAAAGGGAGCAGAGGTGGACATTAAGGTACAGGCAGCAGGTGACGGTGCGACGAAGGAGGATGCAGAAGCAGCAGCTGAGCTGGCGAAGCAGGATGGAGTGAATAAGGGAGGACCTGATCCGGAAAGCGGAGCAGAGGCTGCGAAAGCGCAAGCTGCGGCAGATAAAGAACAAGCAGAGGCAGATGCGACGGAAACAATGCAGTCCACTGCGGCGGAAAAGAAGAAGCCTTCCGCCGTTGCGCAGGCGGATCCCGCTGTTGTGCCCGCCGCTGCTCCCGAAGTCGCTCCCGCTGACACTTCCGCCGCAGCTGCCGTTGTCGCTTCCGCTGCTGATCCCGCGGCACCACTTGCTTCCCCAGCGAAAGCTGTTCCGCCAGGAACCCCTGTCGCTCCTGCGGAAGCGGGGGCTGCTCCCGCGCAAGACTCTGCGCCAAGTCTTGCCTCCACCACCCCCGTTGCTCCGCCAGCGCCTGGTGCGTCTCAGCAGGCACCATCATCCGCTCCCGCCGCTGCCGCCTCTTACGCAACGATAGACGCGGAGATAAAAGCAGTGCGGGACATGCCGAATCCTTTGGGACCGGGACCTTCCGGAAGCGCATCCGCACCAACGCCCGCAACTGACGGTGCGCAAGCATCTCCCGCGCCGCCAGCAGCGGCGAACGCGGCAGCGGCAGGCGCAGCGGCAGCAACGCCAGCACCCACCGCAGGAGGTCAGGCAGTAATAGAAACAATCGAGCTAGACGATGACGATGAGGACGACGAAACGGACCACAGCGCGCTGAACGCCATCCTCTCCGTGCCACCCAAAGAGCTCGAGACAGCCGTCGAGAAACTCCTGTACATCCACATGAGGCCGCGCCTGCCGGGTGCAGATGAAGACGATCAGATTGCGCCGCACACGATGGCGGCGTTAGAGACGGGCGTGAAGTGGGTGCTCAAGCGGCAGAGCTCGTCCGTGCCCGCGGAGCAGTGCGTGCGGCTGGCGAAGGCGCTGCTGCTGGACTCGCAGCACGGGAAGCGCGGGCGCCCGCGCAAGTACTTCGCGGAGGCGGAGGTGAACGTGGCGCTCGCCGCCGTGAGCGCGTGGCTGGAGAGGCGCAGGCAGCAGGAGGCAGGGGAAGGGGCAGGGGGAGGGGGAGGGGGAGGGGGAGGAGGGGCGAAACCAGGCGAGGCCGCAGCTGCGGCGAAGGCAGCAGCAGCGGCGACTGCAGGAGCTGCGGCGGGGGCGGGTTTCCCTGGGCCGGCAATGCAGCTGCTGGCGCAGCAGTATCAGCAGGTGCCGCAGCAGCAGCAAGCGAGCTGGTTAAGGCCTCCTGTTGCTTCAACAGGCGGACTTCCGCCAGCAGCGCAGCTGGCGCAGCAGCAGGGGCATGCGCAGCAGCAGCAGCAGCAGCAGCCGCAGCAGCAGGCGAGTCTACTGACCATGCCATCCCTAAACCCGCAGTTAGATCGCTCAGTGGAGCTGCCTGGATACTACCCCAGCCGTGTTCCCCCAGGCTTGACGTTCAGCTTACGTCCCGGCGCCATACTTGCCGGCACCGTACCTCGCACCGTACCTGCCGGCTCCGCACCTGCCGGCACCATACCTCGCACCGTACCTGCCGGCACCGCACCTCCCACCGTGTTTGCCAGTACCATAGCTGCTACCACAGTTGCGGCGTCGCCTGCAGGGAATCAGACGGACGGAGTGGGTCTGTGGCAGGGCAGGACGCGGTTGGGAGGGCTGGGGTCGGGACAGCGACAGAGGAGGCAAGCGTGGGAGGGGTTTGGGGGGCTGAATTCAGTGGTCTCACGGCAAGGTGATGAGGCTGGAAGGAGGCTTGTGATGCCGGCGGGAGAAGCACAGAGGGCGACACAGGGGAGAGAGCAGGGAGTGCAGGGGGTAACGCAAGGGCGAGCAGAGGGGGTAACTCAGGCGCGCGGGCAGGGATCAGCGAACGCACCACCTGTGAGGGAGTTCGTGTTGGGGTTGAAGGCGCCTGATAGGAGCACGCTGAGGCCGGGAGCAGGGCTGGTAGATGTGCCTGTTGGGGGGGCTGCCCCGGGAGCAATCCCGGGGTCGGGGTGGGGAGCGAGGCGAGGAGAAAGGCAACCTGCTAGTGCGCTGCAGCAGCAGCTGCAACAGCATCATCAGCAGCAGCAGCAGCAGAAGCAGCAACAGCGGTGGCAGCAGCAGCAGCAGCAGCAGCAGCAGCAGCAGCAGCAGCAGCAGCAGCAGCAGCAGCAGCAGCAGCAACAGGCACAGAAGCAGCAGCAGCAGCAGCAGCAGCAGCAACAGCCACAGAAGCAGCAGCAGCAGCAGGCACAGAAGCAGCAGGAGAAGCCGCCAGAGGTGCAGCCGCCAACAGAGAATCTCCCAGCGCCAGGGCTGGGAAAGGACGTATGCGTGCATAAGTACTACCTCCCGGGGATAGAGCGCAGCGGAGAGGCGGGCAGGCAGAAGCAGGAGCGCGAGCACGCCACCCTGCTGTCGTTTCTCCACTGGCTCTACCCCCACCTGTGTGGGATCTGCAAGGCGGTGGTGCAGCACGGGCCGTTTGTGGAGGGCGCGCAGGGGCGGTTTGCGGGGTACGAGGTGGGGGATGTGGCCAAGGGGAAGGAGCGTGGGGTGCTGGTGCGCGCGCCTAGCAACTGGCGGAACGTGGGGGACTCCTCGTGGGCCACAGAGCTCAACCAGGTGCGTGGAGTGAGGATTGTGGTGTATTGTCGGTTGGGCAGGGGTTCCTGGTTAGTGTGTGTTCACAAGTTTCCCTAGCAACTGGCGGAACGTGGGGGACTCCTCGTGGGCCACGGAGCTCAACCAGGTGGGTGGTGTGGGGATGGTGGTGTATTGCTGGTTGGGCGGGGATGCCTGGTGAGTGTGTGTTCACAAGTTTGCTTAGCAAGTGGCGGAATGTGGAGGGTGTGTTGTGGGCCAAAGAGATCAGCCAGGTGGGTGGCGAGGGTGTGTCAGTTGAAGTGCCCGGTGAGGTGACTCACAAGTTTCTTTGCCCTTAGCACCCACCCTCTCAATTCGTTACAAACTTAGCAGCTAGAGGAGTGTTGGGTTTGCGTCATGGGCAGTAGGCCACAACCAGGTGGCTAGGTGGGTGTCTCTTGGCATGGCTGTGTGTTTCTTGGGGTGCCCGCTGTGCTGATTCATTCCAAAGGTTTTCAGAAATCAGCTTAGCTGCTCTTTCCCCTTCAACTACTCTCGCTCGCAACATCGCTCACCTTTCCCATCTCCCTCCTCTACTCCTCCACCCACCACCGCCACCACCCCTCTGCAAGCAGCAAGGGCCAAAGAAGCGGCGGCTGGTGTTTGTGGGCTGGCAGGCGTTTGCGCAGACAGAGCGGGGGGCGGTGGACGTGGGCATTCACATAGAGGACACGGATGCCATCAGGTGTGCAGGCAGGGTGGGGAGGGAGTGGGGAGGGAGGGGGCTGGGCTGTGCTTGGATTCTGATACCATAAGCTGATGGATGGGATGGGGAGTGGGGCGCAGTGGACGTGGGTATTCACATAGGGGACACGGATACAATCAGGTGCGCGCACAGGGGATGGAGGGAGTGGGAAGAGAGGGTCATTTCATGGGCACCACCAGCACCAACACGCCCTTTCGGCCCTTCCCTTCTGCTCTTTATTTCCACCCATTCTGCCCTCTCTGCCCCTTCATTCCGTCCCGTTTGCCCCCTCATTCGACCTGTTTCGCCTCTTTCCATCCGCCCGTCAGGTCTCTCCTCGCCAAGAAGCGCCGCCTGCAGCAGTTTGCTCGAAACCGAGTCTCCGACATCCAAACCCTAAAAGGCAGGCTTTCCGAAGCTCGCGTGCAGGTTCGGACGCTTAAGGACCAGGTTCGGGATCTCCAAACCCAGCTGAAGGCTGCCAAGGAGAAGGAGAAAGCATGGGGGCGGGGGCGGGGGCGGGGGCGAGGGGAGAGGTCAGCAGAGGACGAGCAGAAGCAGCTGCAGCGGCGGCTCAAGAAGCTTAAAGCCCGAGCTGGTAACCGCCCAATCACCGCTGATGACATGGCGATGCTGGATCTGATGTCAGATGACGACGACGATGACGAGGACGAGGACGCGGAGGGTGACGGGGCGGCAGCAGGGGCGGGGGGAGCTGCAGGGGAGGGGGAGGGGGAGGAGGCAGCAGATGCGGCGATAGGAGTGGAGTTGTGGATTCAGGAGTTGGATGAGCCAGATGATGAGATGGTGAATGAATTGCTGGAGGACATAGAAGTCATGCCCAATGTCTCCGTCCCCAATGGGACCGGTACACCCGGTGCGTTTGGGGATCCACCGCAATTACCCCCTGTTGACGCTGCAGCGCCGTCCCCTGCCCCGTTTTTTCCCGCGAACATGCCCTCATTTCAGGTTCCACCCACTCCTAATGCTGCTGCTCTTGCTGCTGCTTCTGCTGCTGCTGCCGGTGCTGCGGCTGGTGCGGGTGCTGCTGGTTCCCCAGCAGCAGGCAGAACCATCTCGCCTCTCCTGCAGCAGCTGCTGCAGCGCTCCTCCCGCCCCATTGCCCCCAGAACCACCAAACCCCAGCGCTCTTCTGCCGCCCCCGCACCTCCAGCCTCTCTCAACCGCGCTCCCATCCTCCCCACTGTCCCCCGCCACGCCTCCAACTCGTTCCTGCTGGCGGCAGCGTCAGGGCAGATCCCAACTCCTGCTGCGCCTCCTGCTCCTTCCCCTGGTAACCCCACTCGCGCCCCTGCCACTGCTGCCGCTGGCACATCTCGTGAAGGCTCCGGGCGGCCGTCCTTGGGCGTGTGGGACCGAATTCAGCAGAGGAGGAAGAGGGCGAGAGAGGGGGTGACAGGGGACCCGGAGGAGCCGGGGGCACAGCAGCGAGACGGGAGGGACGGGAGAGAGGACCTGCAGCAGCGGCAGGAGGCAGGCGGGCGGGAGGGCACGCTCACACGCCCTTCCCTGGGGTCAGGCCGGCCCCTGGCGGGCTTACGGAAGAGGAGGCGGGAGGGGCAGGTTGACCCGGTGTTTGGATCAGCAGGGCTGCGGCCGCGGGGGCGCGAGCGGGACATTCTGTTCTGGTTCCAGTCGACTGAGCGGCGCAAGATGAACCGGTTCCAGTCGCGCCTGGAGAAGCGCCTGCACAAGGTGAGCCTGCAGAGGCGGGCGTGGCGGCGAGGCGAGGAGGGAGGGGAAGAAGAGGGGGATGGTGGGGAGGGGGGCGATGGGGAGGAGGGGGAGGAGGGAACGGATGGGGGTGGGGATGAGGAGGAGGGAAGGGAGGGGGATGTCGTGGAGGTGGGAGGGGGTGCGGGGGGTGGTGGTGGAGAGGGATATGTGACCCTGTTGTCGAGTGACGACGAGGGCAACGAGGAGGAAGATGGTGGGGAGTGAGCAGCGGATGGTGGAAGGTGATTGCATTGGAACTAGGTTCTAACTCGTATGCACGAATCAGTGCATAGAAAAGAAACCCACTAATAGAAAGGGTATAACCGTACGTGGTACATGGCCATGTGGGAAGGGAAGGGAGGAGGGTGGGAAGAAGGGGAAGGGGGAGCATTTGTGGCATCTGCGGAGTGCAGTAGCGATGGCTGCCCTGCCCACGCTCCCACTAATAGATGACTTTTTTATGGTTGTGATTTTTCCAAATGGTTAATCGTATATTGACCAAAAAATGAGTGCAGGAAGTTCAATCACACCCAGAGAATCGACTTGCATGAATGGAGAACTCTGTGCGTAACGGGAGCCACTCAAAGCGGATTCCGCTCCACCTGGACCCTCAACCCTAATTTTCGTATAAACCCCTCCAACTCTCACACCATCCATGAACTTTTTCAACCCTGGAGAAAAATAAACACCAACACCTTAGTCGGCGCGGGTAGCATCCAGCGTCACTTGAGACGGATGTAACGAATCCTCTTTCACGAGGCAGAGCACTTGGCGCGGAGTAGAAAAGGTGGATAGTTCAAGGGCCGGAGATTTGAGCACAGCGCGCCGATGTCAGGCAGGAGAGGGGGGGCGGGTGGCAGAGGCGGTGGGCGGAGCGGGCAAAGGGGGAGTTGGGGCGGGGAAGGTGAGCGCGCGCAAGGCGGAGGTTGGGGTGGGGCTTTCCAGAGAGCGGCGGAAAAAAGTGCTCCTGGCGGAGATTCCGGCGGGGCTTTCCGGGGAGGGCGGGGGGGAAGGGCAGCGGTGGGGGGATTTGCGGGGAGGCAGCGGGGGAGGGGCGCGGGGAGAGGATCCTCAGCGTTCCGCCAAAACGGGGGAAGAACGGGCGGTGCAGCGTGGGGTGGGCAGAAGGGGCAGGGGCAGAGGCTGCTAGGCTCCGCGCAAGAAGAGCGGGAAAATGGGGGACACGAGGGGAGCTGGAGAGAGGTGAAAGTTCCGGGGTATGCGGGGGACGGGGGGCGCAGCGAAGCAGGGGGGGAGACGGCGGAGCGGAAGGGTGCGGAAGCGGAAGGGGTTTCGGGCGTTGTGTTTTCGTCGGGAAATTTCGCGGACCTTGGGCTCTGCGAGACGCTCGCGACGCACATAGAAGGTGAGTGGAATCCCTGCAATGTCAGATAAACCCTGCCCCACTTAAACCCTATTTTAGCCAAGCCCCACGTCAGGAATACGTGAGATCGAAAAATATCAAGACAGATTTGAATCCCTTACTGCGTTCCGTCTCGCCATTTCATCTGAGCTTCTCTGTTCCCCGTTCCCCTTCCCCTCACTTCCTTTTCCTTCCATTCCCCTCCGACGTTCCCGTTGCCTCCCCTCCGCCCTCACCTCTGCCCTTCCCTCTGCTCCGCATATGCCCCCCCTCTGCCCTCCCTTATGCCTCCCCATTCGCCCTCCTTTGCCTTCCCCCTCCGCCCTCCCCTGCCCACCCCCTGGCAGAGAAGCTGGGGTTTGCAGCGCCAACGCACGTGCAGCAGGCGGCCATCCCGCACGTCCTCGCTGGCAGAGACCTGTGAGCTCTCGCTGTCTTTCCTGCTCTGGTGCCCAGAGTTTACGTTTCAGACTTGGCAAGACCTGTGAGCTGGCAGAGACCTGTGAGCTCCCCCTGTCCACTCTGCCCTAGCGCTCATGGTTTAGGGTTCAGACCTGGCAGAGATCTGTGAGCTGGCAGAGACCTGTGAGCTGGCAGAGACCTGTGAGCTGGCAGAGACCTGTGAGCTGGCAGAGACCTGTGAGCTGGCAGAGACCTGTGAGCTGGCAGAGACCTGTGAGCTGGCAGAGACCTGTGAGCTGGCAGAGACCTGTGAGCTGTCCTCTCTGCCCTGTCGCCCTCCCTCTCACATCGCCTTCCCTCCCTGCGTTTCCTGAGGTGACGTTTGAGTCGACGCAACTTCCGCACAGCGCGTCTCAGGCGCCCCTCTCCTTCTCACCCCCTCCTTGCCACCACCCAGGCTGATTCGAGCCGACACGGGATCGGGCAAGACGCTGCTATACCTGGCGCCCATTCTGCACGCCCTGCAGGCCTGCAGGCAGAGGGTGGACCGCAAGCACGGCACATACGGTGAGTGTTGCCACATTGGGTAAGACTTGCCACATCCGGTAAGTCCTGCCACATTGGGTAAGTCTTACCCGGCAGCTATGCCAGCTATTTCATGTGGATTAAGTTTTGAGACGTCTCAAACCCCTCCTTTTCTCCTTTTTCCCTCCCTTCACCCCAGCCGTCATCGTAGCCCCCACGAGGGAGCTCTGTGTGGATCGTCACAGATGGGCTTCGCACTTCTCCCACCTCTTTCGCCCCCCCGCTTTCCTCTATTCCTTGCTCGCTCCTTCTTACCCTTCCGCCCTCCTCCCCCCTCCCTTCACTGCAGCCGTCATCCTGGCCCCGACGAGGGAGCTCTGCGTGCAGATAGAGGAGGTGGCGCAGCAGCTGTGCCGGTGCTTCGTGTGGACCGTACCGGGTCGGTGCATCGGGGGTGCACAGACAGGGCAAGTGGGCCGTGCACGCAAGGTACATCATTAATGCTTCTCCTCTTGCCCTTCTCCACCTCTTCCCCCTTCCCTTCTCCCCCAACCCTTCACCCTACAGCCGTCATCTTGGCCCCAACACGAGAGCTCTGCGTGCAAATAGAGGAGGTGGCGCAGCAGCTGTGCCGGCGCTTCGTGTGGATCGTGCCGGGGCGGTGCATCGGGGGGGAGAGCCGCAGCAAGGAGAAGGCGCGCCTGCGCAAAGGGCTGGCCATTGTGATCGCGACACCAGGCAGGCTGCTGGACCATCTGCGCAACACGTGCTCGTTTGGGCTCGCCCGGTTGCAGTGGCTCGTGCTGGATGAAGCTGACAGGTGAGATTGGTGGTGTGGGTACTGATGGGTGGCAGCTTAGGGGAGAGGGAGAGTGCCCGTGCCCCCCTTCAGCCATGCTCGAGTGGCAGGCTGCTGCACCATCTGCACAACACCTGCTCCTGCGGGCTCGCTCGCCTGCGATGGCTCGTGCTGGATGAAGCTGACAGGTGAGGGTGGGGAAGTGGAAGGTGGGGTAGTGACAGGTGCGGGTGCTGGTGGTGAGGACGTCTGGAAGAGTGAGAGTGCCCCTTATTGCACACGAGTGGCTGCTGCACCATCTGCGCAACACGCGCTCCTTCGGGCTCGCTCGGCTGTGGTGGCTCGCTCGGCTGTGGTGGCTCGCTCGGCTGTGGGGGCTCGCTCGGCTGTGGTGGCTCGTGCTGGACGAGGCTGGCAGGTGGGTTTGCTGGTGCGGGTTGTGATGTGATGCGGGCGGTGTTGGTTTGTTGGTTGCACCACTCATCACCCCTCTCTCCACCCCTCTCTCCACCCCTCTCCCCACCCCCCTCTCCCCACCCCCCTCTCCCCACCCCTCTCTCCACCCCTCTCCTCAAACCCCAGGCTATTGCATCTGGGGTTCGCGTTACGGAGTTCCTCTCTCTTCCCCCCCTCTATCCCTCACACTCCCTCACACTGACTCACACACTTCCTCCCCTCTCTCCCCGTGCACTCCTCTCAGGCTGTTGGACCTGGGCTTTGAACGAGACATAAAGGAAATCATCTCGCTGCTGCGAGAGAGGCTCACCCAGGACGGTCTGATACAGGGAGGGGGTGCTCAGGGTGCTTCCAGGAAGCTTCAGACCATGCTGCTGTCGGCCACGCTCGGCCCGAGGGTGGAGCAGCTTGCTGACGTCAGCCTGGTGTCTCCGGTGGCTGTGAGCGTGACAGGTGGCAGTGTGCGAGTGGAGGAGAGGGTTTCTGGGCGGCCGTTGGGGAGGGTCGGGGGTGGGGTGGGAGAGAGGGAGGGGAGGGGCGGAGAGGTGGGTGAGAGAGATCTGGAGGAGTTGGGATTAGTGGAGAGAGGGGAAGAGGAGGAGGAGGACGAGGCGGAAGAGGAAATGGAGGAGGAGGGACAGGAGGAGGAAGACGAGGAAGAGGTGGAGGAAGAGGTGGAAGCAAAGGAAGAGGAGGAGGAGGAGGAGGAGGAGGAGGAGGAGGAGGAGGAGGAGGAGGAGGAGGAGGAGGAGGAGGAGGAGGAGGAGGAGGAAGCGGAGGAGGGAGAGGTGGAGGAAGACGAGGAGGAGGAGGAGTTGGAGGAGGGAGAGGAGGTTGGGGAGGGCAACGATGACGACGATGACGACCTGCCTCTCTTCATGCAGGCCCTCCGTGCCGTTAAGAAGGCGGGGCGGGCGGAGCGCAAGGAGAAGAAAGAGGAGAGGAAGGAGGAGAGAACGCAGCTGAAAGAGGAGGGGAAGGAGCAGAACGGCAAGAGGTCGGAAGGTGAAGATGGGGCATTGGAGAGTGGTGGCGGTAGAGGTGGGGTGGGCAAGGCGGAGAGCATGAAGGGGGGAGCAGCAGGCGTGGCGGTGGCAGAAGCAGCCATGCAAGGGGCTTCGCAGGGGGTATCAAGAGAGGGTGTGGAAGAAGGTGCAAGGGGGGATGAGGAGAGGGGAGGAGGGCATGGAAGGGTGGAGGGGAGGCGGGAGGGCGGGGTGTTGCAGGAGGGGCCAAGTGGTGGGGGTTCGTTTGTCTTCCCGGAGCAGCTCAAGCAGTTTGTGCTCACAGGTGCGTGGGGGTGTACCTAAATGCACGCACTGCCAATCCGGTGGGTGTATTATGTATAGGTTAGGCCCGAGTCCCGACTGCTATGCCGACAGCGCACAGGTGCGTGTACCTTTACAGCAGTTTGCTGTTTCTGACCTTCTCTCTTGGCTCCTGCTCTTCATTTCTTGAGATCTGCTTGTTCCTGCAGTATCCTCTCCTGCATTGCCTTTTCCCCTCCCATTTCTCCCTCCAACTATCTTCCTTGCTCCCATCCCAAACCTCCTTTACCGTCCTCCTCATGTTTTCCTCCCCCCCCCTCTGCCACCAGTGCCCTGTCGCTGTCGCCTCATCACGCTCATCGCTTTGCTGCGCTCCAAGCTTGCCACATCAGCATCATCCAAGGTACTGGGGCCTCCTCAGCAATCTCCAGGGCTATCATTCTGCCTCAGCTTGCCTATCGCTCTCTCGCTCCTTTGCCCGTGCCCCACCCTCTTACCCTTCTCTCCTCCGTATCCCCTCATCTCCTGCAGTGCTCTCCCATCCCAACCGCTTCTCATGTCGAACCAACCCCTGCCTGTCTCTCTTTGTCAGGCGGTGCTGTTCCTAACCACATGTGACTCTCTCGACGTACTGGAACCGTGTCAGCAATCTTCAGTGGCTGTAATCGCGCCACCCCTGTTCTCCCCATCAGGCGGTGCTGTTCCTATCCACATGTGACTCTCTCGAGGTACTGGAATTGCCGCAGCGATCTTCCGAGGCTGTAATCGTGCCACCCCACTCCCCCTCCCTCCCCTCTCCCCTTCCTGCCCGTCCCCATCAGGTGGTGGTGTTCCTATCCACGTGTGACTCTGTCGAGTTAGTGAAAGCACGTTAGCGATCTTCAAAATTGATCACCTTCCATGACCCTCACCCCCCCCATTCAGGTGGTGGTGTTCCTATCCACGTGCGACTCTGTCGAGTTCCACGCCACCCTCCTCTCCTCCGCCCCCACCTCTCCCCTCACCACCGATTCCCCCCACCACCAACAACAAGAGCAACAGCAACATCAACAGCATCAGCAGCAGCAGGGCGATCAACCAGCACAGCAGGGGCAAGGCCTGCTGCCAGCGCCAGTGTTCAAGCTGCACGGCAACATGGAGCAAAAGGACCGATCCAAGGCCTTCCTGGCCTATCGCAGCGCGCCACGTGGCGTGCTGCTGTGCACTGACGTGGCAGCACGCGGCCTTGACTTCCCTGCTGTGGAGACCATTGTGCAGTTTGACTCGCCTGGCGATGCTGCTGACTACGTGCACCGGTACGAACCTCACTGCACCCATTCCTACTCCCGGTACCCCATTCCGTTGCGCCCGTACGCTGTTGTTTGTGCTTTGTTACGTGCACTGATACGAACCTCGTTGCACCCATTCCTACTCTCCTCTTTCCCTTTAACCGCCCCTCTCGTCTCCTTTAGCCTACACTCCCCCCTCCTCTCACTCTAACCCCTCTCCCTTCTCTCTCCGTCCCCTCCCCCACCCTCTCAGAGTGGGTCGCACGGCTCGCATCGGGCGCAGGGGAGAGGCGGTGCTCGTCCTGCTGCCCAACGAAACAGAGTACCTGGACCAGCTGCTCTCCACCCACCCAACCACCCCTCTTCTTCTTTTTTCTTTCCCGTACTTCTTCCTCCAGAGTGGGGCGCACGGCTCGCATCGGGCGCAGGGGAGAGGCGGTGCTCTTCCTCCTCCCAAACGAGACAGAGTACCTGGACCAGCTGCGCTCCTGCAACGTGCACCTCCTCCCCATGCCGCTCCTCCCCCTCCTCGACTCCCTCCTGCCCGGAATCTCCGCCGAACCTGCCCGGACCAATCGCAGGCGGCCATCCTGGAAGGAGGTGAGTCCAGAGGAGGCTCTGGCCAATCACAGCGCAGTAGAGACGTGGCAGGAGGAGTTGGAATTAACGGTGGCGAGGCGGGCCGCATTGAGGGAGCTTGCCACTGGGGCTTTTCGGTCGTTTGTGCGGGCGTATGGCGCGCATAAGGGCAGCTTGAAAAAGATTTTCCACCCCAAGAGGCTGCATTTGGGGCACGTTGCGCGGAGCTTTGGGTTGTCGGAAACCCCGTCGGTGATTGGGAAATCTGCTACCAAGGCGGCGGCTGCTCTGAAGAGGAAGCAAAAGATTATGGGGCAACAGCATAAGAAGCGGATGCGAGCTGCTACCGAGGGGGAATGAGGGACATTGACATCTATATATTGCCATTGATAAATGCGTGTGTTGTTTGTCCGATGCATGTAATATTGGAGTATATTTGATTTTGCTTTATTTTCTGAAGCTGTGTTTTGTTTTGCACCAAGCAATCGAGATATCTATCACCACAGACTGCCTTATTTCTGGGACGTTCGTTTTCTTGACGCTGTTTGTAACGCATACAGCAGCAGCCTCGCTTATCGCACCTTCTCATCATCCTTCCCCCTTCTCACACCGAAACCCAAGTCCGTGGATGCACGGCTCTCCGCATCCACCGGCGAGGTCTTTTCTTTTCTTTTCGTTTCCATATCACTCCGCCTGTTTCTTTCCGCCGTTGCGCGGACATTCCACTCAAATCGGACGCGATCTGATCTGATCCGTGATCTCCGATCGTGTCCGTACATCGTTCCGATGAGGCGCTGCATTGTGCGGCTCGAGCCGCATCTCCGCCGTCAGATCGGCCAACCGATCTCGACGGGACCATCTCCGCCGTTCGTCAGCAGCCCTGCTGGTCCTTTCGCCCCTCCGATTCCCCTTACTGGCCTATCCCTCTCCGAGCCGCCCTCTGCAGCCTTCGCTACTGCCGCCTTACCCCCCCATGACGCCGCCAGTGGCGCCGCCAGTAGCGGCACTAATGCCGGCGGTAATGCCGGCGGCAGCGACGGCGATGGCGGCTGGGGCAGAGGTCGTGGCGGCCGCGGCTTCCCAGACGGGGGGAGAGGCGGCGGCATGTGGGGGAGGGGAAGAGGCAGGGGAGGATGGGGACCTGGCGCAGGTCCCCCCGCCCCCGGTTACGGGCGGTCATGGGGAGCGCCCGGATTTCATGCTCCTGGGAGGTTTCCGCCAAGCGCGCCGATCCAGCAGCCCGTGGCGGCTTCCGCTGGCCAATCCCCCCCACTGACGCAACATGAGGCACAGCGCCCAGATGGCGCTTCCCCGCCGCATCCTCCGCCTCCCACCGCTCCCCCCGCTCCCTCCGTTCCCCCCGCCGGTGCCCCCACGGGCCTGTCCCCCGCTGCCCTCTCCCGCATGCTCGTTGCGTACGAGCGCGCGGGGAGGGATGCTGACGTGGCACGCGTGCTGGCCGACGCGCGAGCCGGCGGCGTTGCATTGGACAGCGGCGCGCAGGAGGCGGCGATTCGTAGCGTGGCGCGGAGGCGGGACCTGGGGGAGGCGGATCGGATGCTGGGGGAGGCGCGGGCGGCGGGTTTTGTCTTATCCGCGCCGACGTGGAACGGGCTGGTGGAGATGTATGCTGAGATGGGCGAGATCGAGAGGATGGAAGATGCTGCCGCCCAGGCCGCCCGTGCTGCCGCCCAGACTGCTACTCCTGCCGCCCAGGCTGCTCCTGCCCCTGCTGCTGGGGGCCCTGCCCCCACTTGGTCTCCCCCCATTCCTCCTCCCCCTACCCTTGCCGCTGCTGCTCCTCCGGCGCCTCCTGCTCCCCCTGCTGCTGCAGCCGCCGCTGGCAGCAGCAGCGGTAGCGTCGAGAGCAGCGACAGTAGTGTGGGTGGTGGTGGCGGCAGCAGCGAGCAGCTGAGTGAGAGGGAGAGGGAGGAGATGCGCCTGAGGATGAAGCTCAGACGCCGGGCGGCAGATGCTGACTCACACGCCGACCTTGCTGCTCCTTCTGTTGCTGCTCCGGTCATTGCTGCTCCTCTTGCCCCCCTTGATGCTGCAGCTCATCCCTCCTCTCCTGCTGCTGCCACTACCCCATCCCCACCATCTCCTCCGCCTCCGCGCTTTGCTCCGCCGCCCCCACCTGGCGTTCCCCCAACCGCAGCGCCCACCGCCCCGCACGCCCCCCACCCGCCCCCCTCCCCACCCCTTTTCTCGCACCGCCCCCCTTTCCCCTCGCCGCCCCCCCTGACCTCCCCATCCGCCCCCGCACCTCGCATGCGCCCTGGCGTCTCCGCAGCTGCTCCTGTGGCCGCGCCGTCAGACACGTCAGCTCCAGCTGCAGCTGACGTGGCAGCTGCTGACGTGGGCGTCCCGGGCGCTGCAGCTCCGCCTGCAGGTTTGGGCCGAGGCGGTCTTATGCCGGCAGGGCGCGGGGCAGGCCTGGTAATGCCGAGCCTGGGAGGTCCGGCAGTAGGCGCAGGGAGGGGAAGGCTGAGTTTCGAACGGCAGATGGAAGGCTGGAGGGGCGCTGAGGGGGCGAGGGAGGGGGGGAGGGAGCTGGGGAGGGAGGTGGGGAGGGTGGGGGGGATGGAGAAAGGGAGGGAGAGGGAGAGGGAGGAGCAGAAACAGGGACAAGGGCCAGTGGGAGGGGTGGAGGTAGGGAGGGGTGCAGCAGTTGACATCCCCCCACAGCAGCACCCTCCCCCCTTGAACCTCTCTCGAGAAGACGCCACCGAACGTGCCCTGGGCATCCTTACCGCAGCTATGGCCAAGGCTCGGGACTCCTCCCGAGCCTCCTCCCGCCGCGACGCCGTCAACCAGTTCGCCGCCGAGGCTCTCGGCTCGGTCATGTCGCGCCGCAGGCTCGGCGCAGGCCCGGGAGGTCCGGGAGGAGGAGGCCCGGGAGGGGGGGGAAGGGGAGGGCGCGATGAGGGGAGGCGAGCGGGGGGAGGGGGAGCAGGGGGACAGAGGAGAGGAGGGATGAGGGAGGGGGAGCAGAGGAGAGGGATGAGAGACGGGGGGCAGAGGGGAGGGATGGGGATGGGGATGGGTTTGGTAATGGATAGGCAGGCGGAGGGGCAGGGGGGGCAGCAGAGGCCGCGGGTGGGCGGAGGGGGCAGGCGAGGGAGGGGGGAGCTGGTGACGGGGGAGAGAGTGGTGCAGAGGTTTATAGAGGAGTCGACGTGGAGTGCGGAGGATGAGCGGCAGGTGGGGGAGTTTCTGGACTTCCTCGAGGCTGCTGACGTGGCAAACGCGGCCCTCCACCAACGATTCATGGTGAGTTGATGGCAGGCTGATGTTGGTCGCATGGTTGGTGGGTGGGGGTGTGTGTGGAGTGCGGAGGATGAGCGGCAGGTGGGGGAGTTTCTGGACTTTCTTGAGGCTGCTGACGTTGCTAATGCAGCCCTCCACCAACGATTCATGGTGAGTGGGCGTGGGGTTTCGCTGGTGCCATGCTGGTTGCATGGTGGATCATGGCTGCCTCACCGCCCCCATCCCACACTCCCACTCTCTCCTCTTTTCTCCTCTGCCCGCAGGTTTACTTCGAGCCAGAATACATAACTCCGGACGACTTTTCCCCGATCACACCCCCCTGCTGGAGGAGGAGGAGCAGGCGATTGCAGTGCACTGAGTGAGGCCTCTTACACACGTGCCCGTCTTTCCCGCCCCTTTCCCTCCCGCCCGCACCACAGGTGGACTTCGAGCCAGAGTACATCACACCGGACGACTTCTCCCCCATCAACCCACTGCTGGAGGAGGAGGAGGAGAAGCAGCAGGCGAGTGAGGGGCCGTCGCTGGAGGAGGTGATGGTGGCGGCAAAGGCTGAGCTGATGGCACTCACGGGCATGGAGAGCGAGGAAGAATTCCAGGTGGGTGGGCATGTGTGTTTGTGTGTGTGCCTCGCTCTGTGTCCGTGTGAGAGAGGTCCCGAAGGGCCAGCAGAGCCCCCCAATAGCTGGCGGGTGAAGGGCCGTCACTGGAGGAGGTGATGGTGGCAGCGAAGCAAGAGCTTATGGCGCTCACAGGCATTCAGAACGAGGAAGAATTCCAGGTGGGTGGGCTTGTGGCTGTGAGGTTGTGAAGAGGCAGCTGGGAACCCCCTCACCCACCAGAGGCAAATGCCCCTTTCCCTGCAGTGCCATGGCGGGGGGAGTGCAGGAAGGAGGGTGTGCAGGAGGGTGTGCAGGAGGGTGTGCAGGAGGGTCTGCTGGAGCTGTAGTAATGCTGTGCGCGGAGCCACAGTAAATGACCCCCTCCCTCCTCTCTTGTCTCATTCTCTCCTTCCCCTCCCCCTGCTCGCACCTCCCCCTGTCCGCCCTGCAGAGCTGCCTATCTCGCGCCGATGAGCTCGAAGCCCTACTGGAGCTGTATGCGAGGCCGCAGCGCATCACCCCCTTCTTTCTCCTGGTCTCTCTCCATCTATCTGTTTCTCCCACCATGCCAGTCCGCCCTGCAGAGCTGCCTCTCCCGTGCCGATGAGCTCGAGTCACTGGTGGAGCTGTATGCAGGGCCACAGCGGATGACTGCTCTGCAGGAGAACAAGGTGCTGCAGGAAGCTGCTGAAAGGCTTCCTCCCAGCGTGAACCCCCAGGCCGTGGCGTTCACCAAGCGCGCCCTGCTCACCCTGCAGGTGGGGCTGGAGCTTTAGGTTTTGACCACAGATAGGTGTGCGGTGGGTAATTGTTCACAATGCAGGTGGGTGGGTGTGACTGTAATTGGGTATGACGGCAGGTGGACGTGCCGTCTCCCTCCTGAGCAGCCTTTCTTTCATGGTGGTCGTATTTCCGCCTGCTGCTCTCCACATCCTCATTCATGTGGGCCTCTCTTCTCTCCGCGTCTCGTGCTGCCTTCCTTCCTGTGTGGCAGAACAACCCCTCGTGGACGTTTGCACAGAAGCAGAAGATGATTGGCAGCATTGTGAGAGGGTTCTCGGCGTCGGCATGATGGGGGAAAAGGATATTCATGAGACTTCTAGCCTGCATTGGCAGGATGGGAGGTTGGCAGGATTGGAGCTTGGTGGGTTGGGATGGTTTCTTTGAGGCCCGTGGCAGAAGCAGAAGATGATCGGTAGCATTGTGAGAGGGTTCACGGCATCAGCTTAATATGAGGGAGATAGTTACAGCATCAGCGTGATATCTAGCAGGAGGCAAAGATCGTTGTGAAGGTGCAAGTGCACCTCACTTAGGAGACAAGTAGACGTGGCACTTTGAGGCGTTGGCAAAACCATGACTCCGGTACCCAGGTGGGGGATGCTGCCATAGTTTTGGTGCTCCATGAACTTCCTGTCGGTGGGATTAAAGGATAGAAGGAACAATTCCACTCGAGTACACAAACCCCCAAGAAACATTCAAAATAATCACTTGTCAAAATTGTAAATACTCCGGTCGTTTGCACTCGTATCGCATTTCCACAAATGGTGGCCTACGCCCACAAACGAATTCGCTGCCATCACTTTCCGGTGCGCAATGCATCCATGCCCTCCAGTCACCATCTCACACGGAATTGGGGTCGCGAAGGCACGCGAATTTCGCGAGTCGAGAAAGAAGGTTGTCAGTGTCACGTCATTGTGCACCCAGTGTCGCGTCCTTTTCGCGAATCGATGTTACGAATGGCTGCGACGCACTGACAAGCCCAAGGTTTCTTTGAGACCAGAATGTAATTGCTGATCCTCGATTTACAGTCTTCTGTCTGACCAAGCTTGTTGAAGACAGTCTCCTCGATTAATCGTCAGGTTATCTTATTACTTGTAGCGACTTTACCGAGGTGATCAGCCATCTCTTCGTTTCTCTTCCTTTCACAATGCCAGTCGGATCGCCAATCCAACGGCTTCCTGAGGAGCTGCTTTCTAGGATTCTGTGTTTTCTGGTTCAACCTGACGGCCGGCTGAAACATGCACTTGTTTGCAAGCAGTGGCAGCAGATCGCGTATCGCTTGCAACACGAGCTCCACTTGCCCGACAACCTCCGTATGGATTCGCGTCGGCTCGTTCGGTTTCTGTCGCCGTTCATTAACCTCAGAAAGCTAATTCTCTCTTCTGGCAGCCTCACCTCGTCCCCAAACTTGTTATTCTCTCACCTCGCCCGGACGTGTCCTAATTTGACCGAGCTTCGCGTTGGACCGAAATCACGTGGATCTAGGTACGGAGTTGTAACTGAGAAGGATCTCGTTGTGCTGTTCGAGGGATGTACGCGACTCGAAGATCTTGATCTGTATTGTTCGCAGCACGCTTCCATTCCCCCGTCGATCGACCGGCTCACGTTTCTCAGGAACTTCAGCCTCACGGCAAGCGTCACGCATCTTCCAGACACTCTTACCTCATTACACTCTCTCAAAAGCCTGGTGCTGAACTGTTATAACCTCGAGACTTTGCCTCGGGATTTCGGCAATCTGGTTTCCTTAACGTCGCTGAAGCTGCACATTGGCTGCTCGAGCCATTCGACATTGCAGCTGCCCGCCTCTTTCACCAAGCTTTCGTCTCTCGCCGTCCTGGAGGTTCGACAATGCACCATTCTTCCGTCGCCGGTCGATTTCAGTCAACTCCGGGCGCTCGAAACCCTCATTCTGCTTGACGTGACGGGAACGCGCGACTTGGTTGAGGCTCTCGAGCATCTGCATCGAATGAAGACTCTAACGATCGAGGGTTGCAGTGATGTCACGTCTCTGCCCGAGTCTCTTTTCCACTTGCCGTCACTCACCAGCCTCACCCTTGACATGCCACAACTTTCAGCCCTGCCCGAAGATATTGGGCAGTTGTCAGAGCTTCTGACACTTTCGCTGAACTTGAGGAGTCTCACGGCCTTGCCTGATTCCATCGCCCTTCTTAGCACGCTTCAAGAGCTCTCCCTCGAGAATATCGTGAGCCTGACGTCTCTGCCCGAGGAGTTCGGTCAGCTGATTGCTCTGGAAACGATGAGTCTGAACCGCCTTTACCACCTCACACGCCTGCCCGAATCCCTCGGGCAGTTGACATCTCTCCAGAAGCTGGAAATTTTGGTGTGTGGGAGGCTGCAGCAACTCCCGGACTCCCTATCCCAGCTATCTTCCCTCGAGCACCTGGAGATTTACGATTGTCCACGCCTCACGATACTGCCAGACGACATGGGAAAGGGTCTGCACTCCTTGCGCCATCTTCTTCTCTTGGAATGCAAGGCTCTCACCCACCTTCCCCCATCCTTCTCCAGCCTGACGTCTCTCGAAACCCTCAAAATTGAAGACGCGCTACGCTTCAGGGGCGCCTTGCAAGACGGTTTTGGCGGCTTGAAAAGCCTCAAGAAGCTGTCCCTCCGTTGCATGCCACGCCTGTCTGCCCTTCCTGCCTCATTCTCGGGCATGTTTGCACTCACCAGCCTGGAAGTGGGGAAGTGCCCTAGAGTAACTATCCTGCCTGAGGGGATCGGACGGCTGGAAGCACTCAAGGTGGTCAAGATCTTTGGGATGGACGGCCTGAAACGCCTCCCTGCGTCCCTTGGTCAGCTGTCCTCTCTGACCCAACTGAAGCTCCTAAAGATGGACAAACTTGTTTCTCTCCCCAACTCCATCTCTCAACTCTCGCAGCTGCAAAGGCTCCAGGTTGATTGGGCCAGGAATCTGAAAGCACTGCCTGATGCCCTTGGTGGACTCTCCAGGCTGCATTGCTTGCAGCTAGTTCGCCTATACACAATGCTTCAGCTGCCCGAGTCTTTTGGGCAGCTGAAGATGCTCAAGAGCCTAGAAATCATCGATTGCTACAAGCTGATGCAGCTTCCAAAGTCCTTCGTGAATCTATCCAACCTACGATCCTGCGCTCTTGTCAAGCTCGGAATTTCAGCCATTCCAGAAGACATTTGGAAGCTGTCTTCCCTCACGAAACTTCTGATATTGGGACTGCGGCAGTTGCGCAGCTTGCCAGAGTCATTCACTCAGCTGCCTAAGCTGGCGGATCTGCATGTGCGTGAGTGCAAGAAGCTGGCTCGGCTGCCGTCTTCTCTCCGGAGAATGCCGACGTTGCGTACATGCAAGGTCGTTGAGTGCCCTTTGCTCTCCCAGCGAGACACGCGGCGGTTTGTTGCAAGGAGAAGGGAGGATGGGGAGGAGGAAGAAGGGGAGGAGGGGGAGGAGGGAGAGGAAGAGGAAGGGGAGGAGGGAGAGGAAGAGGAAGGGGAGGAGGGAGAGGAAGAGGAAGGGGAGGAGGAAGAGGAAGAGGAAGGGGAGGAGGGAGAGGAAGAGGAAGGGGAGGAGGGAGAGGAAGAGGAAGGGGAGGAGGGAGAGGAAGGGGAAGGGGAGGAGGGAGAGGAAGGGGAAGGGGAGGAGGGAGAGGAAGGGGAAGGGGAGGAGGGAGAGGAAGGGGAAGGGGAGGAGGGAGAGGAAGAGGAAGGGGAGGAGGGAGGAGGGAGAGAAAGAGGAAGGGGAGGAGGGAGAGAAAGAGGAAGGGGAGGAGGGAGAGAAAGAGGAAGGGGAGGAGGGAGAGAAAGAGGAAGGGGAGGAGGGAGAGAAAGAGGAAGGGGAGGAGGGAGAGGAAGAGGAAGGGGAGGAGGAGGGGGGAGTACCGCCCCCTTAGCAGCACCGTCGCTGGAGGAGGTGATGGTGGCGGCTAAGCGAGGCTGATGGCGCTCACGGGCACGCAGAGCGAGGAGGAGTTCCAGGTGGGTGGCTGTGTGGCTCTATGAGGATCGTGTGGTGCTTGTGGGTCAGTCTCTGTCTGTGCGTCTGTGTGTGTGAGGGGTTGACACAGTCACGGGCATGACACGCCTTCCCTGCGGTGCTGTCACAGAGGGTCACTGAGGAACCGCCTTCCTCGGTGCCTCTCACTGACCGCAGTTCCAGGTGCAATTGACCGCCTTCCTCTCTGTTCCGTCCTCCCCTTCTCCCTCCCCCAGTCTGCGCTGCAGAGCTTCCTCTCCCGCGCGGATCAACTCGAGGCTCTAGTGGAGCTGTATGCGGTGCTGCAGCGAATGACCCACTTCTTCCTCCCCGTTTCTCTCTCCTACCCCCTTTTCCCTCCCCCCTTCCCACACCTCCCCCAGACCGCCCTGCAGAGCTGTCTCTCCTGTGCGGATGAGCTGGAGGCGCTGGTAGAGCTGCATGCAGGGCCACAGCGAATGACCCCTTTCCTCTTTCCTGACCCTTCTTTTCCCCCTCCCGCTCCCCCTTCCCCCTGTTCTCTCCCGTGCCGATGAAATTGAAGCCCTGGTGGAACTATACGCGGGGCCGCAGCGATTGACAGCGCTGCAGGAGAACAAGGCGCTGCAGGAAGCCGCTGAGAAGCTTCCTCCCAGCGTGTCCCCGCAAGCCGTGGCATTCACCAAGCGTGCCCTGCTCACCCTGCAGGTGGGGCTGGTTAGGGCTTTAAGTTTAACATTTGGGGTAGAAGCTTGAGGTTTTGACTACAGATATCGGTAGGTGCAGTGGGTTATTGCTCACACCATGCAGGTGGGTGGGTGGGTGTGACTGTAGATGGGTATGATGGCATGTGGATGTGCTGTGTCCCTCCTGAGCTGCCTTTCTCCCATGGAGAACATTTCCGCCTGCTGCTCTCCACATCCTCATTCATGTGGGCCTCTCTTTTCTCTCCCCGTCCCGCGCTGCCTTACTTCCTTTGTGGCAGAAAAACCCATCGTGGTCGTTTGCGCAGAAGCAGAAGATGATCGGCAGCATCGTGAGGGGGTTCTCATCCTCGCATTGATGAGGGGTAAACATACAGAGCGGTTGGAGCCGATAAGGGTTTTTTAGGTCTGCTGTCCCAAGCAGAAGATAGTCAGCAACATTCTCAGGGAGTCGTTCCTTGTCGCCCGCATTACATATGGTGGACGTGAGAGTCGATGGCAGCCAGAGAGGAGATATGGTATCTTCTTTTTATAATCTGCTGTAATCAGCAGTGTGATGGAATTCTGATAGCGTAGTGTAGGAATTGTGGTGCTGCGTCGAGTAGTTTACATGCTTAGACGCAGTATTGCATACTGTTTCAATGCGGTAAACATAAAATACACACTACAATTCCATTTTACGAATGTGAACACATTGTTTTCTAACCTGTAAAGGCAACATATTTTTGGCTCCTTCATGCTTTTTACACGCCTTACCTATTTGCAAATAACAACTCGCTGCTGAAAACAATCTGCTGGATTCGCATCCACAAACGGGTACGCTAGTACCCTCACCTTTTTTGCGGGAAGCGCACAAGCCCACGTTGGGTCAACTCACCATGGGACACCCAATTGGGGCACGCGAAGGCTGATATTCGCAAATGGAGAATCTGTAGAGGTTGTGATTGTGCGCCTTGTGTCGCCGTCCTTTTCACAAGTACGTGTTACGTGGGAGAAATTGGCTGGAATGGGTTCGAGAAGTAAGAGCGGTTGAGTGCGGTGTCACTGACAGGCCCAAGGGTTTCTCGTTGGCGTCGTTCTGTAAGCACCTGACAATTGGGGGAGGGAGGGAGAAGGGAAATGAGGAGGGTTCCGAGGTGGGTTCCGAGGTCGACTTTTCCCCCCTGGGCAAACATGCAAGATGGGAAATTTTGCATCGTGGGGCGGTAGTTTCCCAAGGGAAATGACGAACTGCGCGCTGAATTTCGCGCGCCCATCAGAGGGTTAATTCCAGACCGCTGTTTAGTGCACCCAGGGTACTTCGGACTGCGAGGATAATTTATACAGAAAATCGAGCCCCAAAACACACATCACCCCTTGGACCAACTTCGAGCGTGTTTTCTTTTTCGATTTGGGAGGTGCCACCCTGATTGGGCTAGACCGTGTTGTCATTGGCGTTTTGTTTGGGCGGGAGGCTGGTGTTCCCACGCCCAGCTCCTCCCTCCCGTCACCATCGCACTTCCCCGTGAAGGGTGGGTGGCCGATGGCGGGGCGAAGGCAAACAAATTTGCCAGAGGAGGAAGGTGTTGAAGGGAAATAGGAACCTTCCTGGTGGGGCATTTCCATCGAGGGAAACGACTGTTCTGCAGGCATTTCCCTTCGTCTAGGTTCGGAAGGGAAATGACTGCCACGTCGGCATTTTCCGGGCTGACCGCCATTTCGAACCTAAAATTGCAGAGGCAGGCAGCTTCCTATTTTCCCTCCCCTCCCTCCGTGATGCCTACAGAACGACGCCGTTGAGTTGAGAGAGATGCACTCCCTGATCCGCACAGGAGCATATTCCCTTTCAGGCTTTCAGGCTCTTTCAGGCTCTTTCCTCCTTCCCCTTTCAGGCTCACAACAACCTTGCTGATCGACGATTAGGAGTCACGTCACCTCATTAGTAGCAGAATCAACAAGCTGATCAGCAAATCATTTTAGTATCTTTTTCCTCCTTTCACAATGCCAGTCGGTTCTCCGATCCAGCAGTTACCTGAGGATATTATTTCTCGGATCCTGCGTTTTCTGGTTCGACCTGAGGGCCTGTTGGAGCACGCATTTGTTAGCAAGCAATGGCATCGGATCGCGTACCGCGTGCAATACCAGCTCCGCTTGCCCAATAACCTCCGTATGGATCCGCGTCGTCTCGTTCAGCTTTTGTCGTTGTTCCCTAACCTCGAAGAGCTCATCCTTTCCTATGACAGCCTCGCCTCCACCCCTAATTTTTTATTCTCCCACCTCGCTAGCACGTATCACCATTTGACCCAGCTTCATGTCGAATCGATGTCACGTGGATCTAGACCCGGAGGTGTATCTGAGAAGAGCCTCGTTGTGCTGTTCGAGGGGTGTACGCGGCTGGAAGATCTTAAATTTCATTGTTCGGAGCATGCTGCCATTCCCACGTCGATCGACCGACTTACACGGCTCAGAAGATGCGGTGTGTAGGTAATGCTCAATAGCAGATACCGCATTGCTGAGCAGTGCAAATTGGTCAATGTTTGATCTGGTACACATTGTACAAGTGCGGATTTGGGCTGGCTGGATGGATGGCATTTGGTTGCTTGCAGATCTTGCGAGATATCAATTGGTGTGAGGACTGCACATTCACTGGGTATATTCTATACATGCCAACATACAGCAGTTATTGTTGCTACTTGTGCACACCTGACCCACGATATACACATATCCTTCCGAACAAGGTCAGCTACAAGTAACAACTACTGCTGCTGGCACAGGACTACAGAGTGGACAGCTGACTTGGCACGTATTACTCCGGCAGCTGGGCGGAGATTTGATCCTGCAGTGTGGCATCCGGCAGCATGGCAACAGGCGAGGAGGAAGGAGCAAGTTTGCACGTGGATGGTGGCTTGATCAGCACATCATACACCAGTCACACCATTTATACCGTGCACACGCCATGCACATTCACCACACACCGTACAGCATGCACCATACCTCTGAAACGAAGATGCCATGGAAACCATATGGCACGCGCTGGGGCATGCGGATGGTGGCGACAGGTTGTCATAGGAACCACACACACCCTTCATCCATACACCATCCACACACCATGCACATTCACCAAACACCGTACAGCACACAACCTACCTCTGACACAAAGATGCCGTGGAAGCCGTATGGCACACGCTGGGGCATGCGGATGGTGGCGATGGGGGTAGAGGCCATGGTCTTGGCGTCCAGCACCACCACCTCGGAGATGCTGCTTGGGGGGAATGGGGAAGGTGGGGGGGAGAGAGGGAGGGGAGGAGGGGTTGAAAGAGTGAGAATGACTAGGGTGGAAGGGTGCAGGGGTGAGGGAAGAGGCCATAGTCTTGGCACCCAGCACCACCACCTCAGAGATGCTGGTTGGGGAGGAATCGACAGGGAGAGAGGAAAGGGAAAGAGAGGAGAGTGGAGAGAGAGAGAGAGGGGAAGGAATGGTAAGGCGAGGGCCTTGGCATCCGACACTTCTACCTTAAAGATTCTGGTTGGGGGGAACGGGGACGAAGGAGGGGGAGAGAGCAGTATGTGGGACAGGGTAGATGATCGAGGGGAGTTAGGAGCAGAGAGTTCAAGACAGGGAGCATGTTGTGGATTCCAGGAGATTTACAGAGGCTATGCGAGGTAAAAACTCCACACAAGCCATAAGCGGCACTCACTCTGTGTTGGTATCATGCACGAAGGTCAGCACGTAGCCATCGTCCTCCTCCAGGCCAGGCTCGTTGCTCCGAGGCACAAACACAGGCTCGGACCCGAACCTGCCCGTCCCGTGGTTGAAGAACCCTGAGACGCAGCCGGCGACGGTGTAGTACGGTGCAGAGAGGTCCGGGGGACTTTGGAGGTCAATCTTGGCAATGCCACAGATGCGTGTGATGCCCTCAAAGGATGCGCAATAGACGTAGCGCTGCTTGCTGTGTGGGTTGGGATGGGGGAGGGGGGGAGTGAGCGGGGAAGAGGGCCTGTGAATTGTTGTTGTGAAGGTTGCGCCGGCCCAAATACCGAAATATTCGTGCTCTTGACGTGCCTTGTATGACATGACAAAGGGTTTGTGCAATTAATAACGAATTGGCATCCTCACTCGCTGCCTCACATATGTACCTCTCGAGAATGCGCATCTACTTATTTAACAACACACGGCATGCACACAAAACACACATAGCACACGCATAGCACACCCATGGCATACCCATCACATAGCACACGCACCATCACACTCACCGCCCCATGTAGCTGCCGTGGATGCGTGGGTAGTCACACAACACAGCACACCCATGGCACACGCGCGGCACACATCACGGCACACAGATCGCGATGCACATGCAAGTCTACTCACCGCCCCATGTAGCTGTCGTGGATACGCGGGAAGTCGCACCCGAACGTGGTGAGCTGGCGCTGCGATGCCTCTCCCGTTGCCATGTTGAACCGGAACTCATAGCTGCGGAAAAGGGGGGAGAGACAAGCGCAGGTGATGGGGAGGATGAAGGAGGAGAGGAAAGAAAGGGAGGTCAGATGGGCACAAAAGGGGGGTACCTTGATTTCTGCATCAGCACACACGCATTACACCAGATAGGAAAGAACATACTAAGTAGCTCAGCACCAAAGAGTGAAAGCCGCTCGCAGCCCATCATCCTGGAGTAAACCAACTCACAGTAGCCTTGTCGGCCTCCATCTGTTCCAGCTTCATGCTTTTAGTGAGGCACGTAGACTCGACACACGCACTAAGCCACACCCACTCAGGCGCAGAGCAACTCACAGTCTGGCAGCCTTGTCCTCTTCCATCTGCTCCAGTTCCAGGTTCATCTCATCGAACCGGCACGCAATCAGCACCACCTCCGTCTCGCCCTTCTCCGTCTGCTCCTCCCACGCGTTCCCCGTGTGGAAAATAAACAGCGCCGGCAGCTCAAACCACCGGAGCTCCGCCTCGCTCTCCGCGTACCGAGGCAGGATCCCGAACCTGGCCGGCCGGTCCGGGTTCCACAGGAACGGCATCTTGCCCTTGACAATCTCTTTCGGAGCAAACTCCAAAGGAAGGTCCAGGAAAATCGCGTAATTCTGTGTGATGGCGAAATCGTGCATCATGCCAGGCGTGGGGATGGTGATGTTAACGGGCGGACCCATCTCCCCCGCTTTAGACACCACGCGGTAGGTCACGAAAGGCGCCTTGGCCTGGTAACCAAACGTAAACATTTCGCCAGTTTCGGGATCCACTTTCGGGTGCGCCGTAAACGGGTGCTTCAGCCGCCCGCCATACGTCAGCCTCCCTTTTGTCTCCAGCTCTCCGTCTTGAAGCACCTGTATCGCGTACGGCGCGTCGCCCTCGTGCAGTGCGAGCAGCCGCCGCGCGTGGAATATGAGCGCGGTATTCCCGGTGCCGTTCCCCTGGGAGAGGTCCAGCACGCCCAGCCACGCGCGCAGCTGCTCTAAGAATATCTTCCCCAGGCCCACGTATCCGAGCAAATCCCCGAATTTCAGGAACTTGGCGCGCTGGTACGCCGACTCCTGCTCGAGGCGGCTCGTACGCACCCAGCGGTTGACATAGCTCGCCTTGCCGTCCTTGATGCGCACGCCGTGCAGCATGCTGGCACACAGAGGTGTGCGCGGAGGGCGGGATGAGGGGGAGAAGGGAGGGGGTTGTTAGCTAATGCGCACACACTCGCAACGCGTGTAGTTTCGATATAGAAAATGCGGGTAGAGAGACGACCGTTGAAGCGCTTCGAAAGCCACTGGCACTCACCCGTCGCCGTCGAAGAGGTGGTAGCTGAAGGTGGGCGCGAACTTGGGGTTGGGCCCGTTGCGCACGAACTCGCCGTTCAAACACTCCTGCGCAGGGGGAACGCGGGTGAGAGGGGGAAGACGCGGAGGGGGCGCGGGGAGAGCGGGAGGCGCGGGAGTAAGCACGGGTAAGCGGGGGCGCTGGAGGGTCAGAGACGGGGCAACCTGGTCGCGCGGGACCATCGCGACGCGTAACAGGGATTGAGTAGGGGTAAATGGGGGTGCTGGGGGAACAAAAACGCGGGTTGAGACGTACGGCTGACGGGTACTAGATCCGGGATTCGGATGGGCACGTGGCACGAACGTACTGGGAGTTGGCCGGTGACGGGGAGGTCAGCGACGGGGCCGACTTCCTTGTCCACAGGAGCGAACACGCCCGTGAGGTACGTCGTGCTGGGTGGCGTTTTTATCCTCGCATTCAGGAATCGCTCGATGGCGTCGCACAGCCAGTTCGCGTAGCTCTGCGACGGCGATCTCGGCTGCACGGGCACTAACAGCTTCTGCTGCTCGCCGGCGTCGCGTCGCACCATGATTACGTCACGAGTGGAGTGAGGGGGATCGAGCACGTCGGGGGCTGCGTCGACGGAAAGCGACTCGACGTGTGAGTCTGAACGTGTGAGTTTCAAGTCGAAGGACGACAGTGGGTGGACGCTAATGGCTGACTGGAATGCGAGCACGGCTTACCACTAATGTGCACCTAACGTAACAGCGATGCGGGGGATGCGCGCTATATAAAAGGTAGGGAAAAGTAGCAGCAGGTTCTGGGTGGAATGCGAATGGCGCAATGTGGTGGTCGGGTCACTCACTCACCACTAGTCCGTGGTGATTCTCTAGCGAGGGGATGGAGGTATGGAGTGGAGTGCACTTACGGTCCAGATTCGTATTGATTGTCGATGGAGGCATCTGCACCTTCCATCCGGAATCAAGAGACGCGGTTCGGAGTGGTCGGCAGTTTGTTTTATGCTGCCCGCGGGCCAATTGGTGGGAGGTCGAGCTTGTTTTGTTTCTGCGTGCAACATTTTGCGAATGATGACTCCGGCATTATCGAGTCCTCCAAAGTTGCCTTGGGCAACGAACAAATTTCGAGTTTGGCGGAGATTCTGGCGTCCACGTCACGGACAATCTGGCATCGTGGAATCAAAACAAGCGAGCCGAGGTGAGGTTCCGACGTGGCGAGGCATTCACCTTCCACGTCCTGTACTCTATACGGAAATGCTCCAATACAGTATAATTCCATCAGCTGCTCCCCTTCATGTTGCCACTAATGCTTGTTGTCCATTCTCTCAGGTATGTACACAGAGAATTGCATCAAAAGGGTGATCGTTAAACTTAACGATTTAAACATCTGCCACTCCGCATCATATGTGCGGCGCGTACAACCCTTCACAATACTCCATCCGTCAACCACGCTCTCGTGTTTCCTTTCCACTCACCCCCGCACTCCACCGCCTCGTCCAGAAGCAAACATTCCTTGTCTCCTTGCACTGACGACGCACCAACAAGCTTGCGGTCTCCGCTACAGATGTCTCCGCAACTGGGTGTCATGTCCTCATCCCGGGAGTTGCGGTAGTCCTTTGAGGGCCGTTCGATTTGCGAGAATGAGCGAGGAAGGGTGGCATCAGCAGCTGCGCCGTCCTTCGCAGCGCACATAGCGCCGCGACCAACGCCGCCATTGCCGCAACGGTCATTCTTCCCCAAATTCCCTCCTCTTCCGCCCCCTCCTCCCGTTCCCCCCATGGAGCGCACATTTTCCGCCAGCGGCCGCCACAATCACCCCACGTTCGGCTCCCCCGCCCTCCGCCCTTCCGCCTCCCCCCTCTTCACCCACGCGTCCCACGCCACCGCTCGATCCCCGCCGCAGTCCCCGTCGTATTCCCTGCCGTATTCCCCGCCGTATTCCCCCCCCTACTCCCCAAGCTCCCCCTCCAAAGGCCCCTTTCCCCAAGCCTCCCCGCGCCTTAGATGCCTATATATAGCGATTCTGATAGTAGTCTCGTACAATCTAAGTTACGTAGTGGAGCATTTAACTCTGTCTTTATTAGGCCGCCCTAACGCGTGGTCGCGCGGCGGCGCGAAGGGCGGGGAGGACGAGTACGGCGCATACGGCGCGGACACGGCGCTTTATAACGCGCTGTCCGCGGCTATTGATAGCGGGGATGACCCGCCCACGCTGGCGTCTTTCACGCCGCCCGACCTGCCCGAATGGAACCCTAACGACGTGAGTCGGGGGAGGGGAGGGAGGGGGGGTGGGGAGGGAGGGAAGAAGGGGAAGGAGGCAGGGGGAAAGGGGGACGGGCAAAGGGGAAGCGGGAATCGGGGAGGGGAAGGGGAAATGGGGAAGGTAGGAGGTGATTAGTAAGTTGACTCAAAAGTCATTTGCCCTGCCCGAGTGGGACCCGAATGACATGGATGCAACGACGCGGGAGGGGGAAAGGGGGGGAGGGGTGGAGGGAGTGCGGGGCCCCACTGTGTTTTGGAAGCATGCAAGTCACTCCCACTCCCCATGCCAGCACCACTACTCCTCTCCCTCCCCAGACACCCTCCTCACACCCATGTGGAGGCATTGGTTGCTGGAAGCTTGCTTGCACCCTGGCACCCCAGCAGCTTTCCCTGCCTGCCACACGGAGAGTCATGTGGACGTGTAATTGCTGTACGTACCTGTCTATTTCTCACCTCACCACCTCTCATCCATACCCACCTCCTCCCTTCCTGTCTGTCTGTCAGGTGCAAGTGGAGGTGCCGGTGGTGTTCTACCATGGCCGCCCAGGGGGAGCCTCGCCCTGCCATGTGTGTGTGGCACTGAGCAGCACACACGCACAACTCGCCCTCATTCACCTCCATTCAATCTTTCCACTGCCGCCCATCATCCCCCATCATCCATCTGGCAGGTGCAAGTGGAGGTGCCGGTGGTGTTCTACCATGGCCGCCCGGGAGCCTCGCCCTGCCATAAGTCACATTATGTCTATAAAGTAGTCTCCGAGGTGAGATGTCCATGTGTTTTTGTGTATACATCCAAACAATCATGTTTTTTCGTCTTCTTCTTCTTTCTACAGTGTTACATGCCCGTAACATGAAACAACCCTGTCGAAGAATATCTCACTTGCCTTATAGAAAGCAGTAATGCAATTCTCTCTTAATGTGTATACTTTCCTGACCACGAAACGACCAGGCACGCAAAGCAAACACAACAACACGGTGCATTTCATCGGCCCTTGGGAGTTACTTGTGAGGCGCTGCAAAAAAGCCCTTCATTGCCCTTTACTGCCTTGCATTGGTCGGTATTGCATTGCTCTCCCACCAGGCGCGCAAGCACAACAACGCGGTGCACTTCATCGGCCCTCGGGAGTGACTTGTGAGGCGTCTCAAAAGCAATGCATTGCCCTGCATTCTTACTGCATTGCCCGGTAACACATTGTGTTTCCCTCTCACCAGGCGCGCAAGCACAACAACGCGGTGCACTTCATCGGCCCTCGGGAATGCCGGCAGTTCTTCTTCCACATGGGGGTGGCCTTCGAGGAGCATGCGGAGTACGAGGAGGTGTACGAGTGGTTCATCCGCAACCTTGGCACCCCAGTCGATGTGCATGTGAGTATGAAGGAGTCTGAAGGGGTATGAAGGAGTCTGAAGGGGTATGAAGGAGTCTGAAGGGGTATGAAGGAGTCTGAAGGGGTATGAAGGAGTCTGAAGGGGTATGAAGGAGTCTGAATGGGTATGAAGGAGCACAATGCGTTAGTGGGTGTGCGCACGCATATCGGTCGATATGGGTGTCATGGAGTGTCGATCCGGCATTATGGCACTACTCTCACTTCTCCCACTCTCTTGCTCTACCACTATTCTCCTTCTCCCATCCATTTTCCCCCATCAGGTGCGCTGGTTCATACTAAAGAAGTTCATGGAGCGGCACAACTACGGCCGCATATTCCACCTCGCCACTGGAGTCATGCTCTTCACTCACTGTTGTTCTGTTCCCCCCCCTTTTCGTTCGTGGTCAATCCGCCCCTCCCCCATCAGGTGCGATGGTTCATTCTCAATAAGTTCAAGGAGCGCCACAACTACGGTCGCATATTCCACCTCGCCCACTCTCCCACTCCCCCCTGATTGTTGTTCTTCCTCCAACATTTCCCCCTACCTTCCCATCAGGTGCGATGGTTCATTCTCAAGAAGTTCAAGGAGCGCCACAACTACGGTCGCATATTCCACCACTCCCACTCTCCCACTCTCGGCTGATGCTTGTTCTGTTCTCCTTCCTCCATCCACTCCTCCCACCCTCCCCTCCAGGTCCGTTGGTTCATCCTAAAGAAGTTCATGGAGCGCCACAACTACGGCCGCATATTCCACCTCGCCACCGAAGTCATGCTCTTCGCCAATGCCTCCCAGGTGCCCGCTCGATGCTCCCCTTCTGTGACAGCACTTTCCACCACTTGTTATCAATTTCAGCACTTTTCACCTCATTTTTTCATCATAAACCGACATTTGCTGTTTGTTGTTCTCCATTCCTTGTAATCCGCCTCCTTGTGCTGTCTTGCATGTTCCTTACCCACCATTGCCCCTCTCCCTCCAATCGTCCCCCTGTTATGTCCTCCTCGGTGCGGAACGGCTCTTCCCCCCTGTTATCCCCTCTCTCTCAGGTGGCAGCATGGCTATTCCCCAACTCTGATCTCGCTCTCCCTGCACGCTGGCCCAGCATCAGACCTCCGTTGAGGCCCACTCAGTACTCCTCTGCAGGTGAGCTGGACACTGCAAATCATTAGCCAAATTCATCTCCTCCTAGTAAGCCCCTCCCTAGTAAGCCCCCCCTCAGCATTTTCCTCTTGCCTCACAAAGCTGCCTGTCTTTTGTATTCACGAGTAGCCCTCATGTCATATGCAGCTTCGCTTGTCGACTAGTGCCTTTTCGTCCACACTATCTTTGACTCGGTGCTGCGCCCACTCCCCTGCATGCTACAGTACCCTCAATCTCTCACGTCTTTTCCCCCTCATGAGTAGGCGTTCACATAAAATTGACTTTCCGTTCGCCCCGCCCCCTTCCCCCTCTCACCAGGAGTGGGAACGCACATAGCCCTCATGTCATACGCAGCGCTGGTCGACTGGTGTCTCTTCCTGCACGCCGTCTTTGACTCGGCTCTGTTCGGAGGAGACAAGGACACCCAGGACCTCGTGCTGCTGCCCTCATATGTAGACGTGACCATCATGGGGTGGTACACGTTTGCAGGCTGCTGGCTGCAGGGTAGAGCGGTGGAGTGCAGTAGAGAAGGCTTTAGAGCTGTGGGGAGTGGTGTGTGAGTGGTGAAGAGAAGCTAATAAAATGAGACCCAGGACCTGGTGCTGCTGCCCTCCTACGTGGATGTCACACCTTTGCTGGCTGCTAGCTGCAGGTGAGAGGAAAGCGGTGTAGAGTGGAGAGCGGTGAGTAATTTGAGTGGAGTAGTTCAGGACACCCAGGATCTTTTGCTGCTGCTGTCCTACGTGGATGTCGCCACCATGGGCCCCACATCCTTATCCACATCCCCACCACCACTCCCCCACACGGCAGTACATTGAGCCACCATGCGTGTCGGGCGTAAAACCCAAAATTGACAAGGCCCTGCACAAGTGGGGAGTTCAACAACACTTGCACGTCCAGTCCCTCTGCCAGCCTATCTTTGTTTGTTCCCCATATCACGCCTTCCGTGTGCCCATTCCCACCTCCATGGCAGTGGGTGGAGCCTCCGTGTGTCTCAGGCGTGAAACCAGAAACCGCCAAGGCACTCCGCAAACGTGGCATTCAACCCCGTTTCCGCGTGCAGTCCCTCTGCCAGCCGCGGCGCTGCCTCAACTCCTCCTGGTCCGACCCCGGCCTCTGCGTCTTTGACAATAACTTCTCGCTCACGCCCGGCCGACCGTTCTTCAAGTTTAAGACCGGGGACAAGAGTCCGAGCACGATGCACTATGGGTTTTACCGCGGGTGGGAGGAGGAGGCGCAGAGTGAGCCGGTGCAGTTCCTGGCGGTGCATTTCATGCATCGCAAGAAAGAGTTTCTGAGTACCAAGTTTCCGCCTGAACCGGAGAAGTCGTGGGGTAGTGCGAGCGAGTAGTGGTGATGGCTTGATTCTGCATGTGAATTGGATAGACAAAACTAGCGTTAGGCTGCGAGCAATGTAATGAGGTGGAGGAATCATGTTCCTGGTGCAGGCCAGCATGTTTCCTGTACCGTATATGATGGAAGCAAAACATTGGCCAACTTCTCTGCAAACAAGCCAAGGCTACAGTATGTGGATGTTCCTACAAGCTGCACAAAATGTCTCGCAACATGCAAAGAGGAAGCTAAAGATGGTCAATGGCGCTTCTAAAGAATCAAGCTGCACATAGCTGACTGCACACACCTGGTAAGGGGACGAAACCACAACTCCCCTTCAACACTTAGAGCCTACTTTCATACACGCTTTCCCGATCCCCAACGTCCAACCTTCCGCACCAACTTCTTGAGCCTATCGAACCTACTTTCAGACACGCCATTTCATCCTAGTCATCATCACTACCCCCCCAGTGTCTGCCAAAGTCGTCGTCATCGTCACTGTCCAAGCCATACTCATGATCAATATCATTATCTTCACCCCCACTCTCCTCGTCCTCTGGTGCCTCAACGCTCGCCTCTTCCCTTTCCCCAGCCACATCGCCTCCCTCCTCCCCTTCTTCCTCTTCCGCATCCCCTCCTTCCTCTTCCTCCTCCCCCTCCCCCTCCTCTCCCTCCTCTCTCCTTGCAGGAACCCCTCTCATGTCGCGGCGGGAGAGCAGAGGGCATTCACTGATGTGGCACTCACGCAATGTTGGCATTTTCCGGAGAGAGGCGGGCAGCCGAGTCAGCTTCTTGCATATGATCACCTCCAGCTGCTCAAGCTTAGGCAGCCGAGTGAACGAATCCGGCAAGCTTCGTAAGTGCTTCAGTCCCAGGATGAGCAACTTCTTGAGGGAAGAATCATCCGGAATGGTTGAGATTCCAAGCATGATGAGAGAGCAGGATCGTAGCTTGGGTAGATTCACAAACGACTTTGGGAGCTGCATCAGCTTGTAACAATCGACAATCTCCAGCGTCTCGAGCATTTTCAGCTGCCCAAGAGACTCGGGCAGCTGCCGCACTGAGATGAGGTCAACCAGCTGTAAGACACGCAGCCCTGCAAACCCCCCAATGGTCTCAGGCAGTGCTTTAAGATAGTAGGCCGAATCAACCTTAAGCCGTTGCAGCTGCGAGAGTCGGGAGATGCAGTCAGGGAGAGAGTCAAGTTTGTGCATATCTAGAAGCTTCAACTGCGTCAATGAGGACAGACGACCTAGAGATGGACCGAAGGACTCCACATTAAGCTCTTTGATCTTCAGGCTTTGTGTGGAAGGAAGCAGAGGACGGCTGCTGCTCCTGCTGCCAGTGCTAGTCACAAAGCCCTTGGCAGTGCGTTGAAGCACCGTCTCGTCGCCTAGCACCCCGCTTAGTGAATCACATGCCCGCACGTCCAACGCCCGCAGACTAGGCAACTCAAGGAGCGCCGGAGGGAGACATATCAGGCCGCCCATCCCAAAGATTCTGACCTCCTCGAGCGCCGCCAGCCGTCCGATTCCCTCTGGCAGGACCGTCACTTTGGGGCAATTTCCGACTTCCAGGCTGGTGAGGGAATCAACGCCAGAGAATGAAGCTGGAAGAGAGGATAGGTGTGGCATGGAATTGATCGAAAGCTCCTTGAGGCCCCTCAAGCAGCCAAAGCCGTCTAGCAGCGCGCCCCTGAAGCGTTTCGCGTGTGCAATCTTCAGCGTTTCAAGAGATGTCAGGCCGGAGAAGGATGGAGGGAGGTGGGTGAGAGCGGTGCAGTCCAGTAGATGCAGGTGGCGCAAGGAGTGCAGACCCTTCCCCATGGCGTCTGGCAACACCGTGAGGCTCTGACACATGTTGATTTCTAGGCGCTCGAGAGAAGACAGCTGGGATAGGGAGTCCGGGAGTTGCTGCAGCTGCCTACACTCCACTATTTTCAATTTCCGAAGAGCAATTAACTGCCCGAATGTTTCAGGCAGGTGCGTGAGCTGTCGGAGGTCTTTCAAATACAGCTTCTCTAAACAAACCAGCTGACCGAACTCCTGGGGCAGATGTGTCAGATTCAGAAGTTGATCGAGGGAAAGCTCTTGAAGAGTGGTAACCAGGGCGATGGAATCAGGTAAGGCTGTGAGACTTCGCAGATTTAACACGAGTCTCCGAAGCGTCGACAACTGTCCGAAATCTTCAGGCAAAGCTGAAATGTGTCCCATGTGAAGGGTGAGTTCGGTGAGTGCAGGCAGGCGGGGAAGAGACACGGGCAGAGTCGTGATGTCACTGCAGCCGCTGATCAATAGAGTCTTCAGTCGTTGCAAATGTTCCAGATCCGCAATCAAGCCGCGCATTCCCCTCACTTCAACCAGAATGATGGTTTCAAGTGCCCCCAGTTGACCGAAATCGGCTGGCGACGGAGCAATAATGCTGCAATGTCGGAGGTCCAGGACGGCGAGAGAAGAGAGTTCGATGAAAGAGGTCGGCAGCTGCAGCGTAGAGCAGCCACTTAAGGAAAAACGGTTGAGAGCGGTAAGCTGCCCAAAAGATTCCGGAAGTGTCGCCAAGCGGCTATGGTGGAGCTCCAGCGACGTCAAAGAAACCAGATTGCCGAAATTCTGAGGCAGAGCTTCGAGCTGATAAGTGTTCAGCACGAGCTTTTTGAGAGATTGTAACGAGGTCAGTGTGTCGGGAAGACGCGTGACCCCACTTGCCACGAAGTGCAGGTGCTTGAGGGAAGTAAGTCGGCCGATTGACGTGGGAATGGCAGCATTCGTCGAGCAGTACACATAGAGATCTTCCAGCCGCGTACACCCTTCGAACAGCGCAATGAGGCTCTTCTCGGTTACATCTTTTTTATTAGTCCAAGGTGACATCGTTTCGACATGAAGCTGGGTCAAATGGTGACACGTGCTAGCGAGGTGAGAGAATAAAAACTTGGAGATGGAGGTGAGGCTGCAAGAGGAAAGGATTAGCTTTTCGAGGTTAGGGAACGAGGATAGAAGTTGAACAAGCCGAGGCGGATCCATACGGATGTCATGGGGCAAACGGAGCTCGTATTGCACGCGGCGCGATCTGATGCCATTGCTTGCTAACAAGTGCGTGCTCTGGCAGGCCATCAGGTCGAACCAGAAAACGTAGGATCCGAGAAAGAAGCTCCTCAGGTAGCCGCTGAATCGGCGATCCGATTGACATTGTAAAAGGCGGAGAAAATAATGAATGATTAGCTGTTCAGCTTGTTGATTTTGCTACTAATCAGGTAATGAGAGTCCTAATCGTCTAATAGCAAGGTTGTTGTGAGCTTGAAAGGGGAAAGGAATCACTGGTGAAATCATTCCCGCGAGGATCACGGAGTGCATCTCTCTCAACCAGGGCTGTCGCTAGGTCTGGTCTGGTCGCTCAAACCAACAAGGAAACCTTGGGGTTGTCATTTACACCGCACTCAAACGCTCGTTCTTCTCGAACCATTCCCGCCAGATGCTCCCACGTAACACCGTACTTGCGAAATGGTCGGCGATGCAGGGCGCACACTGACGAACCTCAATCTCGATTTTCGAGGATCGCCCACAGTGATTTTCGAGGATGGCGAACCCGTTTGTGAATGCGATTTCAGCGAGAAGTGTAAGAAATTTGTGATAGGCAGTGAGTTGTTATTCGCAAATACGCAAGGAGTGTAAAGAATGGAGCAAAAAAAATACATATTACTGTTACAGGTTAGAAAACAATGTGTATTTTGCACATACTATATGACCTTATAAGGCGTTAGGAGAAAGTTTGCCCCTGTGTTTTAGGTACCAGTGGCACTTTTCTAAATCACACTGCAGCTGAGTGCACGCATCTGGTAAGGACCGTTAACAACACATAACCTTTCCATTGACAACTACAGTACATGATTTCGTCCCCAACTTCCAACCCACCAGTCTCACCTATTCATCCTAGTCATCATCACTGTTCCCCCAGTCTCTGACATCGTCGTCAAAATCACTGTCCAAGGCATACTCATGATCAATATTATCATCATAATGTCAGAGGTCCACTGGTGATCCCCGATTGATCCTAGGGAAGGGTTACATGCATGTTGGCCTGGGGGGTTATGGGCGCACTGACCCGCTACTTAACAAGCCCTTTTATCCCAATGGTCTAGTGGTTGGGATTCTGACACATAACCCCCACTCTCGTCTTCCTCCACTGCCTCCCCGCTCGCCGTCGCATCGGCTCCCTCCTCCCCCTCTTCCTCTTCCGCATCCCCTCCCTCTTCCTCCTCCCCTTCTTCGTCCTCCTCCTCCCCCTCCCCCTCCTCTCCCTCCTCTCTCCTTGCAGGAACCCCTCTCGTGTCCCGACGCAAGAGCAAAGGGCATTCACTGATGTAGCACTCACTCAACGTCGGCATTCTCCGGAGAGAGGACGGCAAACGAGCCAGTTTATTGCATGCAATCACCTGCAGCACCTTAAGCTTAGGCAGCTGGGTAAACGAAACCGGCAAGCTTCGCAACTGCTTCAGTCCCAAAATCAGCAACTTTCGGAGGGAAGAAAGCTTCCAAATCTCATCCGGAATGACTGGGATCCCGAGCTTGATAAGGGAGCACGATCGTAGCTTGGACAAACTCACGAAGGACTGTGGAAGCTGCATCAGTTTGTAGCAATCAATAATATCCAGCGTCTCAAGCATTTTCAGCTGCCCCAGAGACTCGGGCAGCTGCCGCATCGTGTACAGGCGAACCAGCTGCAAGACACGCAGCCCTGCAAGCCCCCCAAGGGTCTCGGGCAGTGCTTTTAGATTAAAAGCCGTATCAACCCGAAGCCTTTGCAACTGTGAGAGGTGAGCGATGGAGTCAGGGAGAGATTCAAGCCTGTCCATTTCCAGAAGTTTCAGCTGCGTGAGAGAGGATAGTTGACCCGGGGACGGACCAAACGACTCAACATCGATCTCTTTTATCTTGAGGCTCTGAATTGAAGGAAGTAACGTGCTGCTGCTGCTGCTGCTGCTGCGGCTGGTGCTGCTTGTGCTGGTCACAAAGCCTCTGGCAGTACGTCGAACCACCTTCTCATCGCCTAGCACCGCACTTAACCCACCACATGCTCGCATGTCCAACGCCCGCAGATGGGGCAACTCAAGGAGTGCCGGAGGGAGGCATTTCAGGCCGTCCATCCCAAAGATCCTGACCTCCTCGAGCGCCTGCAGCCGTCCGATTCCCTCAGGAAACACCGTTACTTTAGGACAATACATCACTTCCAGGCTGGTGAGGGAAAGCACGCCCGAGAAGGAAGCAGGAAGGGAGGATAGCCGTGGCATGGAATAGAGTGACAGCTTCTTGAGGCTTTTCAAGCTGCCAAAGCCGTCTAGCAGCGCCCCACTGAAGCGTTTCGCGTTTCCAATCTTGAGAGTTTCGAGCGTCGTTAGGCCGGAGAAGGACGGAGGGAGGTGGGTAAGAGCTGTGCAGTCCAGTAGAAGCAGATGGCGCAAGGAGTGCAGACCCTTCCCCATGTCGTCTGGCAACACCGTGAGGCTCTGGCACCTGTCAATCTTGAGGTGCCCGAGAGAAGATAGCTGGGATAGGGAGTCCGGGAGTTGCTGCAGCTGCGTACACTCCACTATTTTCAGCTCCTGTAGAGCTGTCAACTGCCCGAAGGTTTTGGGCAGGTGTGTGAGCTATTGCAGGTCTGTCATGCCCAGTTTCTCCAAAGCAACCAACTGGCCGAACTCCTGAGGCAGATGCGTCAGAACTCGAAGATAGTCAAGGGAAAGATCTCGAAGTGTGGTAACCAAGGCGATGGAATCAGGTAAGGCTGTGAGACTACTCAGATTTAGCACGAGTGTCCGGAGCACTGACAACTGCCCGAAATCTTCGGGCAGCACTGAGAGTTCATCGATATCAAGGGCGAGGTCGGTGAGAGCAGGCAGGCGGGGAAGAGACGCGGGCAGAGTCGTGATGTCACTGCAGCGCTTAATGGTTAGAGTATTCACTCGCTGCAAATTCTCCAGAGCCGCAACCAAGTCGCGCATTCCCCTCACTTCATCCAGAATGATGGTTTCAAGTGCCCCCAGTTGACTGAAATCCACCTGTGACGGAAGAAGAATCCTGCATCGACTACACTCCAGGACGGCGAGAGAAGAAAGCTCGATGAAAAACGACGGCAGCTGCATTGTCGAGGTGTGACTCAAGGTTAAACGGTTCAGGGCGGTAAGCTCCCCGAAAGAGTCCGGAAGTGACGCCAAGCGGCAATCGTGCAGCTTCAGAGACGTCAAGGAAACCAGGTTGCCGAAATTTTCAGGCAAAGCTTCGAGCCTAACAGTTTGCAGCACGAGGCTTTTGAGAAGCTGTAACGAGGTAAGAGTGTCGGGTAGACGGGTAACGAATGCCCTGAGGGTTAAGCTTCTGAGCCGTGTGAGTCGGTCGATCGACGTGGGAATAGCAACACTCTTCGAACAATACACATCAAGATCTTCCAGCCACGTACACCCCTCGAACAGCGTAACGAGGCTCTTCTCAGATACACCTCCGCGTGACAACGGTTCGACACGAAGCTGGGTCAGATGGTGAGACGTGCTAGCGAGGTGAGAGAATAAGAAATTAGGGGCGAAGTTGAGGCTACGATAGGAAAGGATGAGCTTTTCGAGGTTAGGGAACGACGACAGAAGTTGAACGAGGCGACGCGGATCCATGCGGAGGTCATCAGGCAAGCGGAGCTCGTATTGCACACGGTGCGCGACGAGATGCCATTGCTTGCTAACAAGGGCATGCTCCAGCTGGCCATCAGGTCGAACCAGAAAACGTAGAATCCGAGACAGAAGTGTCAGAGGTCCACTGGAGATCCCTGATTGATCCTAAGGAAGGGTTACAGGCACGTTGGCCTGGGGGGTTATGGGCGCACTCACCCGCTATACAAACAAGCCCTTTTATCCCAGTGGTCTAGTGCCTGGGATTCTGACATGCTATCAGAGCGAAGGTCTCGGGTTCGTATCCCAGCGTGTGCACTTCGGGCATCCCAGTGCAGGGGGGTGTCAGAGGTCCACTGGTGATCCCCGATTGATCCTAGGGAAGGGTTACAGGCTCGTTGTCCTGGGGGGTTATGGGCGTACTGACCCGCTACTTAACAAGCCCTTTTATCCCAGTGGTCTAGTGCCTGGGATTCTGACAAGAAGCTCGTCAGGTAACCGCTGGATCGGCAATCCGACTGGCATTTTTAAAAGGAGGAAAAAATAAGAAATGCCGCTCTTCACCGCGTTTGGTCTGCTACTAACTTGGTAACGTGGCTTCTAATTGTTCTCTAGCTAGGTCAGTGAGACTGAAGGAGTCTTGGGAGGATCAGTAGAAACAGTTTACGGGGGATCAGAGAGTTCATTTCTCTCACCCAGAGACCCTTGGCCCTGTTAGTGGCACCGCACTCCACCGCTCGATTATCTCGAACCATTCCCGCCAAATACTCCCACGTTACATCATACTTGCGAAAAGAACGGGCGATACAGGCACACAATGACGAACTTGTATCTCGACTCTGCGAGGATCACACGCCGTGCCATTCGCGATCCCGAAATGGATGTGCTGGTGACTGGATGTGGTTGTCTCCTGTTCCCGCCAAAAAGGTGATGGCAGCCTACTCGTTTGTGGGTACGAATCACCACTCATCAGCAAAAGTATCTTAACACACTGAGTTGTAATTCGAAAATACGCCTGGAGTGTGGTGAACTACAAAGAGGTCCAATAAGTGGTCTATTTCTTATGCATACACATTTTTTTTTTATCATTTTCACTTGAGCCTCTTTCGCTTAGATGTGAATGTCACTTGAATGTATCTCGCAGATCTGTCCATAGGCATTCCTCATGCATGTTTGTTCATTTTCAATAATTCAAAGAATGGCACGCACTGTGGCTGTTCTTTTCCCTCACCAGCAAAATCATGCCCTCCATCAACGCCTCCATGTCTTTGCCACTCATCTCCCATGTACCACATCCACCTCTCTCCTTGAAGCTAGAAGTGCACTTGCACTTCAAGCAAATAATAACCAAGACGAGTTACACAAAATCACCCATGCTGAGGCGAACAAAAGCCCTACTTCCCAATCCCATCTCCCATCTACAATCACAACCTCCTGTGCGACCATTGCAATTTGCCACCTACTTCACCTCGTTCTTCCAGTCCTCCCCACATTCTCTTCCCCTCATCCTCCTCACCAGCCCCTCCCACCTTGTTATTCCTCCTCGTCGTCATCACTCGCCCTCCAGCCGTCATCATCCCCGTCATCTTCGCTGTCCAATCCATACTCATGGTTGATCCCCCAGTCCTCACCACCACTCTCTGCACCCTCCTCCTCCCCGTCTGCCTCTTCCCCTTCACCTGCCACATCTCCCCCCTCCTCAGCCTCTGCCTCCTCCCCTCCTTCCTCCTCCTCTTCATCAACAGCCACTTCCTCTCCCTCCTCCTCGTCCTCCTCGTTCTCTCTTCCACGAAGGCCCCTCCTGTCTCGCCATGGGAGCGAAGGACACTCACTGATATCGAACTCACGCAACGTTGGCATTCTCCGGATAGAAGATGGCACCCGAACCAGCTTCTTGCACGCAGTCACCTGTCAGAATGTCGATGTTTGTCTAGCCTGCAGTGGGGTACTCTATAGCGAGTACAACCCAATTAGGGTTTCCTATATGTATCTTAACTGCTGCTAGTGAAAACCACTCTTTCCTGTTTCTGATTCTTGCCTATAGTTTCAACATGCTATCAGAGCAGGTCGACCCTCCTGGGTCGATCCTGTGGATGGGCCCGCCACCTAATGCTTCCGCTGCTATCCTGCCTATCGCGCGCCCCGGGCGCGCGACGTGTTCTGCTTGCCGCGCGCTCGGGTGCACGGCGTATTTTTCATCCCGCCGCGCGCTCGGGGCGCGCGGCGGTTTTCTGCCCGCCGTGCGCCCCGAGGCGCGCGGCGGTTTTCTGCCCCGTCGATCCGCGCGTCGCCCCCCGTCGCCCGTCGCAGCGCCCCCGGGGACCCGCGCGTCGCCCCCCGTCGCCCGTAGCGGCCCGCGCGACCTGCGCCAGGCCCGCGCGCGGCCCGTACGGCCTGCGCCAGGCCCGCGCGCGGCCCGTACGGCCTGCGCCAGGCCCGCGCGCGGCTCATACGGGCTGCGCCAGGCCCGCGCGCGGCCCGTACCGCCCGCGCGCGGCCTGTACGGCCTGCGCCAGGCCCGCGCGCGGCCCGTACGGGCTGCGCCAGGCCCGCGCGCGGCTCAGGCAGCCCGCGCGCAGTTCGTCCGGCCTGCGCCAGGCCCGTGAGCGGCCCGTACCGTCTGCCCCAGTGCCGCACGCCGTCCCCCGAGCTTCTGACCGCACTCCTGTGTTAGGGTTTGGGGGTGGAGAGTATGGGGGTGCCGTGTGTGTGAGCCGTCCCCTGCTCCTCCTCCTCCTCCGTCTCCCACTGCTGCAGCTGCCGCTGAGGGGGGTGGATGTGTTGGAGCCGTCGGAGTGGTACGAGGGGGGTGGCGTGTGAGCGGTGCTAGTGGTTCAGCAGGGGGTGTGTGAAAGGGGTGTGGGACAGTTGGGGGAGGTTGACCGGAGGTAGCCGACTTGTCGTCCGCAGCGCCTGAAGTCCAGAGAGCCACGACCCCCTGTGGCCGTGTAGTCCGGGGCTCTGCGCCCGGTAGCCATAGTGTGAGCACTCCTGGTAGTCCAGAGAGCCACGACCCCCTGTGGCCGTGTAGTCCGGGGCTCTGCGCCCGGTAGCCACAGTTTGAGCACTCCTGGGAGCACTCCTGGGAGCACAGTGAGCCAGCTGCGCCTGTCGCCGTGTAGCCCGGGTTTAGCCTGGTAGCGTCAGTGTTGCGCACTCCTGTTGCCCGTGTGTCTGCAGCTTCAGCCGTCGCCTCTCATCTACTCGTCCTCCATAGTTTCTCCTCCTCCTCACTTGCCCTCTGTGATAGCCTCTAGCTTTGCTTATCCTTGTGAACTATTGCACTGCCTGCTTGTTGTGTTGATTGTACCCCACTTTGACTATGGGGGTGTGTCAGAATGTCGATGTTTGTCTAGCCTGCAGTGGGGTATTCTATAACGAGTACAACCCAATTAGGGTTTCCTATATGTATCTTAACTGCTGCTAGTGAAAACCACTCTTTCCTGTTTCTGATTCTTGCCTATAGTTTCAACATCACCAGCAGCACCTGTAGCTTAGGCAGCTTAGCAAATGACTCTGGCAGCCTGCGGACCTGCTTCAGCCCGAGCAGCACCAACTCTTGGAGGGAAGACAGCTCCCAGAAATTTCCTGGAAATCTTGAGATCGCAAGCTTGATGAGCTTACAGAATTGTAACTTGGACAGATTTGCGAAAGATCCTGGAAGTTTCATCAGCTTGTAGCAGTCGATAATCTCCAGCGTCTCAAGCATTTTCAGCTGCCCAAAAGACTCGGGCAGCTGCCGTATTGTATCGAGGTGAACCAGCTGCAAGACACGCAGCCCTGCCAGCCCCCCAAAGGTGTCAGGCAACGCCTCCAACCTCCCAGCTGAATATATCCGGAGCCTTTTCAGGCCCGAAAGTTGACAGATGGATTCGGGGAGTGATGTAAGGTAGTCCATATCTAGGAGCTTCAGCTTCGTTAGAGAGGAGAGCTGGCCAAGGGACGGACCAAGAGTCTGGTAAGAAAGGGACTTCATCTTGAGACTCTTGAGGGATGAAAGCACTACCCTGCCGGTGCTGTTGCTGGCGCTGCTGCTGGCGGTGCTGTTGGAGCTTGCAGAAGAACCCCTGGCAGTACGTTTCAGCACCACCTCATCCCCTAGCAGTGCGCCAACCCCATCACACACCCGCACCTCCAACACCCGCACTCGGGGCAGCTCAGCAAGCGACGCAGGGAGACGTTTCAGACCGTCCATACGTGCAATCTTGACCACCTCGAGCGCCTCCAGCCGTCCGATCCCCCCGGGCAGGACCGTTACCTTAGGGCATCCTATCACTTCAAGTCTGGTGAGTGAAAAGACGCCTGAGAAGGAAGCAGGAAGTGCAGATAGGCGTGGCATGTCATGAAGCACCAACTCCTTGAGGCTTTTCAAGCAGCAGAAGCCGTCTAGCAAGGTGCCTTCGAAGCGTTTAGCTTCCATGATCTTCAGGGTTTCGAGGGAGGTCAGGGCGGAGAAGGATGGAGGGAGACGGGTGAGAGATGAGCAGAATTCCAGATGCAGATAACGCAGACGCTGCATACCGTTCCCCATTTCATCTGGCAGCACCTTGAAACTAGGACAACTGTTAATCTCCAGATGCTCGAGAGAAGATAGCTGGGATAGGGAGTCCGGAAGTTGCTGCAGCAGCCAGCACTCCAGAATTTTCAGCTCCTGGAGAGCCGTCATCTGCCCGAAAGATTCAGGCAGGCGTGTGAGCTGGCGAAGGCTGTTCAGGCGCAGCTTTTCAAGAGCATTCAGCTTCCCCAAGTCCGCGGGCAGGGACGGCAGGTTGTAGAGATTATCTAAGGCGAGCTCTTGGAGCGTGGTAAGCAGAGCAATGGAATCAGGAAGCATTGTGAGCTCCTTCAGGTCTAGCACGAGTGTCTGGAGCTTTGACAAATGCCCAATCTCGTCAGGTAGAACTGAAAGCCGCGGCATGTCAAGGGTTAGATTGGTGAGTGAAGGCAGGCGGAAAAGGGACTCGGGCAGAGACGTGATATCACTGCAGCATTTGACTACTAGTGTCTTTAGACGCCACAGATGCTCAAGAGCCTCCATTAGGTCGCACATTCCCGTCACTTCTTCCAAAATGAGGGTTTCAAGCCTCCACAGTCGAGGAAAGTTGATGGGTGGCGGCAGAAGGAACTTGCAGTGTCGAATCTCCAGGATGGTAAGAGAAGAAAGCTTGGTGAGACAGGCCGGCAGCTGCAGCGTCGAGCATTGCATCACGGATAGAAGAATCAGACTGGCAAGTTGGCCGAAAGATTCCGGAAGCGACGCCAGGGAGCCGCAACCGTGCAACTTGAGCGACGTTAAGGAAACCAGATTGCCGAAATCTCGAGGCAAAGCCGCCAGATCGTAAGTGTGCAGCTCGAGGCTTCTGAGAGACCGCAACGAGGTGAACGTGTCGGGAAGTTGTGTGACGCTGGCCCTGAGGTTTAAGCTCCTGAGCAATGTGAGTCGGTCGATCGACGGAGGAATTGTAGCACGCCGCGAACAGTCTAAGTAGAGATCCTCCAGCAGAGTACACCCGTCAAACAGAAACTCCATGCCTTTCTCAGTTACTCCTGCGTGTCTGTATTCGCGTCCCATCGATTCAACGCGAAGCTCGGTCAGATGAGGACACACGTCAGCGAGGCGAGAGAATAACGAGTTAAAGGCTGTGTTGAGGCTGCCATGGGAAAGGACTAGCTTTTTGAGATTAGGGAACGAGGACAGGAGTTGAAGGAGCTGATGCGGGTCCATGCGTAGGTTGTACGGCAAATGGAGCTCATTTTGCAAGCGGTACGCAATGTGCTGCCATTGCTTGCTGACACGTGCGTGCTCCAGCTGACCATCAGGTCGAACCAGAAAACGCAGGACCTGAGAAAGAAGTTCCTCCGGTAGCCGTTGGATAGGCGACCCGACTGGCATCTTGAAACCTTTGACTAACAAGAGACTAATGGCTGTTCCTTAAAGAAGTATGCCTTTCCTATGAGTTTACACAGCGAACAAGCTAGGCTAGTGAGACTTAGAACGAAGCTAGACTTGAGATTGCATTCCCCGTTCGGACACCATCCGAAGTTCGCCCACGCGGTGCGCAGTTTCAAAAAATGACATTTCAATGCTGATCCACGCGGTCCGAAGTCTGGACACTCTGGTTTCAGTCGGCCACCGAGCGTGCGACTAACGTGCACGTCAACTATCGAACTGTGCGATCGTGTAACAAACCATTGATTTCAATTAACACTCTCTGTTTTGTCCCTATCGTGTTTTGTTGTCTGCCCAATCCAAGTAAATTAATCACATATCGCATATATAGCAAACATGCAGCCCGAAATTGGCTACCCACGTTTTTTTAAATGCCCGACACTCAGTTCTGGTCGTTAACAGTTGACGCTACCAGTGTGTACTGCGTCATACTCTGATTGGTCGCGAACCCAAGCGACACGCACGACACTCGTCGCATTCCAGACCTACCAAATGTCCAAGGTGGGGCCCTGCCCCACAAGGACACCATCCTCGCGCCAAAACACCTTCAGGTGGGCGAACTTCGGATGGTGTCCGAACGGGGAATGCAATGTCAGTCGAGGCATTGCAATCTCTGAGCAAGAAGGCCTTCGGGCTTGCCAGTGGCACCGTACTGCATCGCTTGTTTATTCGAACCTTTCCCGCAAAAAAATCCCACGAGGGAATGATTTCAGAAGATCGGACGGCTCGTATTCTCTTCCCGGGTATATGTGTCGTGCGCCCTCCGTTCGCGTTTGAAGTGTGGACGTGGACAATGAGCGGATTGTACCCGTGTGTCGGTAAGGATACAGCAGCTAGTTCATCTGTTGCTGTAAAAGCGCAATATCTTATGGTGGAACCAGCGCAGTGCAACTTGGCCAGCAGCACGCCATCTAGGGTGGTACTTTTCCCCAGTATTCAGCTCAGGAATCGGCATCTAGGGTGCCGTATAGGGTGTGTAAGTTTATGGATCAGAAATCACAGCAATTGTGTCCCTGCTTATTTGCCAAAAACATTAGCAAACCACAACATGAAGCAGTGCTATGCTATGATGCTACAATGCCAATTCTGGCTTTTGACTTGACTATACACAAGCACACCACAACAAGGAACATTTACACACCCCAAAATTCCTTAGATCTTACTGAAGCCACTAACCCTAAGGGTCTGTTTATGCTGGAGGCTCCAAATCCTTCGCTCTAGCCACAACGTATATTCTACCATATGCCCATGAATGCTTGGGATTACTTGGAGATGCCTGCATGAAAACGGAGAATGCATGTATCAGGCAGCGAACCCAATATTGCCAACATTCATAAAATTCGTCAACCAATGCAATGAATCAAGGCAGAGACGGGCGAAAGAGATTCACCTCAACGAATGCATGAAAGACCAGAGGCTGGCCGCAGACATGGCAATCAGCCTTATGTCGATGCCTGCTCCCTTCTTCCAGTGTGATAAACGAATAAACCTCCTCTCCACAGAGTGGACAGTTGCCCTGTAGTGCCACCATCTTGCCCTGGCTTATGCGCTGCAGCGGGCGTGCTGTGGGATGGGTAAGCAGGGCAAGCATCGATGAGGTCCATGATTAGGATGAAGCAGAATGCACCTCATGGAGAAACCTGAAGTAAGGGGAAAAAAGGAGCCACCTAGACAAATGGCGTGAGAAGGGCAAAGCCAGATGCAGTTAAGCCTGGGATAATCAGAAAAACATATCGGGGAGAATAAAAAAACGCACCCACCCACACACCAAAACAAAGCAGAGCCATGGCCTACCTGCAGCGGACGCAAGAACCGCCCCAAGCAGGAAACAGATTCCAGCTGCCATGGCTCCATCCACTTGCCAGAGCAAGCTGGAGAAGATAGGGTTTTCCACCCTATCCACGCCACTCGCGCCCATCACAACCACCAGAAACACCAGTGGCATTGCTGTCAGCGCTGCTCCCACTGCTAGAATTAACGACCACATGGTTGACAGCGCTGTCATTTGCGAAGGGTCTGCCTGATGCGAGAGCGCGGAAGAGGGAAATGGCAGAACGGGAAGGTCACGGACGGCATTGTCTTGCTGCTATAATCCTTGTGACATGAAGTTTCAAGCAAATAAACGAATATCTGGCCGACAGCCAAGGGAGAGCAAACAAAAGAGCTGGAGAACGACCATCAAAACAGCCCGCTGCCCGCTGGCGCCGGAATGTTAGTAAGGAGTGCGCACATGCCAGCACACAGTTCGATGATATCAAAACAACTAAGTAGTTATCCGACGCCATGCGTGGCATACCTCGGCATCAGAGTAGCAGTAGAGGGCTCGTATGCTGCAGCGTGGGTACTTCTTCACCAGCGCAGAGTGGAACCACCGCAACCGCCGCTGCATTGAGAACAAACACGAATGAGATGACGTTTGTTATAAGGTAAGACCATGATTCCACTGTCACTCTTTACACGTACAATCATCAGGGGGACCAAGGGGGAACAACGTCCCGGCTGCAAGAGAACGGCGTGAGCGTACCTCGACCATATCAAAAATGTCGTCTGATACGAGGGGTCTCCCGCTGTAGTACGCATCCCGAGCCTGAGCAGGCACACGAAGAAAGAAACGAGATTCGGGAATGAGCTGACGTCAGGGAAACGGGAGCAACACGAGCAGCATGACCTCTCTGAAATGTGTTACTTGCTTCTACGCATAAGGTTCTTGATGTAATTATTTTACTTTTAGGTGCGCATGTTACGAAAGTCAGAGCTCAAGTGGCCATACCTGCGAATAAAACTGCTCGAGCTGCTCTCTCGTGGCGCTCTCTAACGGACCCAGGAACAAGCACGACGGCGCGTCGTTAGCTGGGGCTTCTCCTGATTGACTGGAGTTGTTGTTACTTTCATGTGGAAACGCGTTCCAGGGCGCTACGCTCGCTTGCGTAACGTGAGATGTGAGATGAAACCGCTCAGTACCGCGTACTTGGATACTGTCATTACGTAATCTTTGAACTCCTAGACTCCTGCGTGCTCTCGGCTTTAAATAACAGATGTCACGCGTTTTTCCATGACAGGAGAAAACGGGACTGCTGATTATCTTCGTCTCACATGAAGACACTACCGCTGATCTGTGAGAGTCAAAATTGTATCTTCTCGTAATTGCAGCGCCAAAACACCTTTCCGAGCTTCCTACTTGACGTAGGGTGTTCATGGCCTCTAACGAACTCCGGAGTTAACGATATCAATTACCGCCTATTCTAGTTGACCTCTCACAACAGCTCAGTCGACCATCTGTGGACCTGCTTTCTGGTAGTGAGGCATGCTGCGACGAAGTGGTGAATTCCCACCCAAGCCAAGCCTGTACTGCTGGAAACGTCAGATAGCTCAGACGCGGAAGTGTTGTGACCATGGCAGTTGGGTGCTAGGCAGAGCACCGAACCCAACAGAACCGAGGAATCGTTGATGAGACTGAACGAACGTACGTATGGTAGCCTCACTCAGTGTTCGACGGTGGTGATGGTCGGAGGTTCTCTAGAGCCTGAGATCTGACGTCAAATTTTCTGACCAGACAGTTCAGGAACGATGCTTCGCTTCTGTCTTCCATGTCACCAGTGGTGGCGGTGACGTCGACCGCAACCTGTCGGTTCGGGAAACGAATGAACCTCATTCGATACTTGGCCAGGTGGTTCGACGGTTCCAGTAATTTCACGTGTCCCCAGTGTGCGACTCCACGAAATGTGAACCAGGCAACCTGTGCTTGAATCAAGTACGTAATGGTGGAAGCTGTGCTGGATCTTTTTCCCAGGATGCTGGGCGCGGGGAGGAGACGCACAAGCGGCGAAATTCAGAAAAAGGGCAGAGATGGTGGGAAAACGGGCCACGACGACCCCTTAACAAGCGTCCAACCACAAAATGTTCGCCACGTGGCCCAGGCAAGGCCGTCAAAGTTCAGAGGCCTGAGGGTGGAAACTGCACAACCTAACGACCAATCAACCGATGTCACCTGCATTCCATTCCACCCTCCGTGTCCATTCCATCTGCTCTGCCTAGAAATTGACAAGCCTTTCTGTTCTCTGTATTTAATCATTCTTCAGTCAGGCCGATTTACTTACGCTATATCTTCAGCAATCTTCATTTCGACTTGCCTCGTTCGGAGTGATTATCGTATCATCTACTTCAGTGTGCTAAACTCTCCGATAGTATCTACTATGGCCCTCGTAACCGTCTCGCTGCCAACCATCAAGGCCGTCTATGCGCCCAGCCAGGAACTAGCAGGTCACGGAAAGAGCGAGCTCCTTAGCACTGTCAACAGGGTAACCCTGGCTGCACCCTCGAGAGGAGTGGTAACGATGAAGAACCCGCATGAAGGGAAGGGTGTGTTCGCCCCTATTGTAGTCGTCGCGAAGAATGTCATCGGCCAAAAGCAGTTCAATCAGCTCCGAGGGAAAGGCATCGCTCTCCACTCACAAGTAAGTACTAACCCTTCGTACGCCCATGATGCCAACATGGTTAATAAGTTGTATTCTAACGTGCCCCTTCGTCATCTCGTTCAGGTAATCACGGAGTTCTGCAAGTCCGTCGGAGCCCCTGCTCAACAGCGTCAGGGTTTGATCAGGCTGGCAAAGAAGAACGGCGAGAAGCTGGGTTTCCTCGCATAATCTAATCGCCTAAAGAAGCCGCTAGCGCATTTTTATCTTCCGCAAACATTTCAGCGACATGATTTTCGCGGAGATCTTATATAGTAGCTTTTAGGCCCCCACCTATTGGTGGACTTGTAAATGTTACTCCCAACTATTTTTCCATTGAAATTATCACGACATCAGCTTTCAGTTTGATTTTCGCGCACGCGTTTTACAAGGTACAAAGCCATTCCCCCTCAGAGTGCTCCATCTGCCCTTCCGCGTTCATCGAGTCAAGTTGTGTGCAGTCATCTGGAGCGACTAAAATTATACTACTACCGTCATGGACATCAACAGGCAGCGACATAGGCATAATTATGCCCCCAATGACAACTTAATTCACAAATGCTGGTGAAACAAATGTGATTATACATCTTCACCGAAATAGCAGCATGCATAGATGCAGCAACGATGCTGCTGATCAACCAACACAGGTGCCTGAAACGGTGAAATTGGTTCGGAAGAGCATTGGTCTACAGGCACCGCATCTCCTTGAAATGCCCAGTCCTGAGGTGAATGATGGAGCGACTACATAAAACTGCTGGCCAAGATGTGAATGTGCCTGTATTGGTCACTTGAATGAATATATTTGCGTTTCTACAAAACCGAATTGAACTAGTAGAATGTTCGCACCCACAAACGGGTATGGTCTAGTCACTATCTTGGATGAGCTCTCTGCTTCCACCACGCATTTCGCCGTCCGTATTTCGCGAATCTTCCGTTCGTGGAATAATTTGATGGGAATGTTTCGATAACTTTAGCGGTGCAATACGGTTCTAAAGACAAAACCAAATTGGAATACAGTTCCCCTTGGGAATATCCTCCCGACAACAACGATGCTGCTTGTTGTCTGTCTGCTCTGGCTTGGTAATCCGTGTTAGCTTACCCATGAAAAGCCATTAATCTCTTGTTAATCCCTCGTTTCAAGATGCCAGTCGGGTCGCCTATCCAACGGCTACCTGAGGAGGTTCTTTCTCAGATTCTCATTATTCTTGTTAGACCTGATGGCAAACTGGAGCACGCACGTGTTAGCAAGCAATGTCATCGCATTGCGTACCGCGTGCAACATGAGCTTCAATTGCCCTACGACCTCCATATGGAACCGCGTCTCCTCGTTCAACTCCTGTCGTCGTTCCCTAACCTAAAAAAAACTATTTCTTTCTCACGGCAGCCTCACCTCAGCCTCGGACTTTTTTTTCTCTCACCTCGCTAACGTGTGTCCTCATCTGGCCGAGTTTGTGTTGGAACGATGGGAAGTGAGTACAGTCGCACAGCTATAAGTGATAAAGGCTTGAAGTTTCTGTTTGAGAGGTGTACTCGGCTGGAAGATCTTTATGTGGAGTGTTCGGAGCATGCTGCCTTTCCTCGGAAGATCTTTGCTCAAGAACCTGCACCTCGTAGCAAGCGTCACGCGTCTTCCCGACTCCCTAACCTCGCTACAGTCACTCAGAAGCCTCATGCTGAACACTAACAACCTCGGAGCTGTGCCCGCAGATTTCGGCAATCTGGGTTTCTTAATGTCGCTCTCGTTGCACAGTTGCTGCTGCCTGGCGTCGCTTCCAGAATCTATCGGTCAACTTGCCAGCCTGAACCTGCTATCCCTCAGGCACTGCTCGAGGTTGCAGCTTCCGGCCTCTCTCACCGAGCTTTCTTCCCTCGCCGTCCTGAACATTCAGCTGTGCAACGTTATTCACCCGTCACCCGTGATTTTTTGTCGACTGCGTGCGCTCAAAACCCTCATTCTGGAAGACGTGACGGGATCGCGTGAGCTAATCGAGGCTCTTGAGCATCTGTGGCGTCTTAAGACTCTAGCTATCAAGCGGTGCAGCGATATCACGTCTCTGCCCGAGTCTCTTTTCCACCTGCCTTCACTCACCAGCCTCGCCCTTGAGATGCCACAGCATTCAATTCTACAGACACTCATGCTCGATCTGAGGAAGCTCGCAACCGTTCCTGACTCCGTCGCTCAGCTTACTACACTCCAAGAGCTTTCGTTCGACAATTGTTGGAAGCTTCCGTCTTTGCCCGAGGACTTCTGGCAGCTGATTGTTCTTGAAAAGCTGCGCCTTAACAGCCTTCGCCAGCTCACACGCCTGCCTGAATCCCTCGGGCAGCTGAAAGCTCTCCGGGAGCTGAAAATAGTGGAGTGTGAGAAGCTGCAGCAGCTCCCGGACTCCCTATCCCAGCTGTCTTCTCTCGAGCACCTGGAGATTACCACTTGTTGGGACCTCACGAGGCTGCCAGATGAAATGGGGAACGGTATGCAGTGCCTGCGCTATTTGCATCTGGAGCGCTGCTTATCTCTCACCCACCTCCCTCCATCCTTTTCCAGCCTCACGTCCCTCGAAACCCTTAAGGTTGTGGAAGCTAGACGATTTGAAGGCACCCTACTGGACGGCTTCTGCTGCTTGAAAAGCCTCAAGGAGTTGGTGCTTCAAGGACTGCCACGCTTGTCTGCCCTTCCTGCATCCTTCTCAGGCGTTTTTTCACTCACCAGCCTTGAAGTGATAAGATGCCGTAAAGTAACGGTCCTGCCTGAGGGAATCGGATCGGACGGCTGGAGGCGCTCGAGGTGGTCAAGATCGCATTGATGGACGGCCTGAAACGTCTCCCTGCTGAGCTTGTTAGGCTCCCGCGACTGCGGGTGTTGGAGGTGCGGAGATGCGGTGAAGTTGGCGCGTTGCTAGGGGATGAGGTGGTGCTCAAACGCACTGCCAGGGTTTCTTCGGCCATCTCGAACAGCGCCGCCACCAGCAGCACCAGCAGGGCACTGCTTCCATCCGTTCGAAGTCTTAAGTTAAAAGCTCTCTCTTTTCATTCCTTTGGTCCGTCCCTTGGCCAGCTCTCCTCTCTCACGAATCTGAAGCTCCTAGAGATGTACGACCTGGTGTCACTCCCTGACTCCATCTCTCAACTTTTGCGC